CTTAAAAAAATGAGTTGTCACTTTATTGTTGATACATATTTATGTACTTTGGATATAAGTCTTTTGTTGGGTGTATAAGTTATAAATATTTTCTTTCAATTTGTGGCTTGTTTTTTGTTTTCTTAACAATGTATTTTCATTCAGCAGAAGTTTTTAATTTTCATGAAATTGAATTTATCAATTTTTTTCCTTTATGCTTAATATCTTTTGTGCCGTCTTTAAGACATCGTTGCTTTTCCCAAGGTTGCAAAGATACTCTGTTTCTTATAGAAGTTTTATCATTTTTGTGTTTATGTTTATACACATACACCTTTGTTTTCTTTTTTTCATTCAACAAATATGTATTGAGTGCCTACTGTGTGCCAGGCACTGTCATCAAGTGTTGGGAATACATACAACAGTGAAGAAAGGCAAGATGTTTGTATGTGAGGAGGGTTCAGAGTGTGGTGTGGTGAGGAGGGGTCAGGATCAAGATTTCTTTTCCAGATATTTATGTTTGGTGTGCTGCTATTTACCTTTGTATTTCTTTTCCTTACCTTTCTTGAGAATTGTTGGGCTATTTATTTCTGGGGTGTGGTGTCTTTGACAAGTTTGGAAAATTCTTATTAATATCTTGTGTAATATTATCTCTCCTGTATTTTCTCTCCATTCCTTCTGGAACTTAGATTTTATGGAAGTTAGACTTTTAATTCTATCTTTGTCTATTAACTGATCATATTTTTCAATTCTGAATTTAGGTCATTCTATTTTCCAGTTCACAAATTCTGTATTTGTGTTCTTCTGTTTAGTCTATCCACTGCTTTTTATTTATTTTAAAAAATTTTAATGTTTTATTTTTGAGAGAGAGAGAGCACGAGTGGGGGAGGGACAGAGAGGAGACTCCAGGTTCTGGTCTATCAACACAGAGCCCGATGGAGGGCTCGAACCCATGAGCCATAAGATCATGACCTGAGCCGAAGTCGGATGCCTAACCAGCTGAGCCAGCCAGGTTCCCCTCTATCCAACGATTTTTAATTTCAGTTGTACATTTTCATTTTACATATTCCTTTTGGTTCTCTTTAAAAAATTTTCTTAATCCTTGGTCATACTTCTGATGCTCTCATTTCTTTGTATACTAAATGTATATTGTATTTTCCTCCTCTTAAAATTTGATTCTTAATTTGTGAGTTCTTGGAATTCATCTCTGTGAGTTGTTTCTGATCTAGGTTTAGGATATGCTTCTCCAGAGACAAAATAAATTTGTTTTTTCCAAGAACCCATGGACACAATCTACCCAGGACCACTTGACATTCAATTTTCACTTGACATCACAAAAATAATTGAATTCTAATGCTAAAAGTTGAACAAAGTCCAGATTGTGGTTAGGAAGACCCCACCCCACCACTATCACCATATTCTACTCAGAGCCAAAGCTCAGAAAAGCAAAGGTACTCATCCTACAGGGATGAGGGGAGTTGTTTCCCCTCCCCACCCCCCAACCTCCCCAGTTTATCATTCACTGAGAGTGTTGCCTTTTGGGTGTTATAAAAACAGGTTAGTAGGACCAAACTACTAACATACACACACCATGGATGAATCTCACAGGCATTAGGTTGAGTGAAAGAAGCCAGACATAAAATAGTACTATTGTGATTCCATTTATATTAAGTTCAAGAATAGGCAAAACTAATCTATATTGATAGAAATCTGTGGTCACCTCTGAAAGAGAGGGTATTGCTTGAGAAGAGAAAGGGAACTTTCTGGGATACAGAAATCTTTATTTGTTTGGATGGTGGTTACATGGGTATATTGCTTATAAAAATCCATTGAGCTCTTGAAGAGCCTGAAATGAAGTCCTCCATTAAGAGCCACCTTGGCTGCACGTAGCCCTAATTCCAGGAAAAGCTTCAGCTGAAGCCACCCTCAGGCCCGCCCTCGGATCAGCCAATCACAAGAACTGTGTAACATTTCTGTGGTCTGAGTCAGGGCTGGGAACTGCAGGTAGTTACTCTGTACAAACTAGCCAATCACTCACCGCTTGCCTAAACCCCACATAGGCCCTTTGAGCTCACCTTATAATTGGTCATTTTCAAGGGATTCTCAAAGGTCATGATTGGGTCCCGCCAAAAGTAACGGACGCCTCACGGATACTGAATGGTCAAAACTATAACCATGGGTGCTGTACAATTATGATTGGTGCTTATGTGGTGATGCAAAATGTACGACATGTGCACTGTAACACCCCCTTCCCTTTCCATAAAAACCCTGCTTGCCATTGTTTGAGTCTTCTCCTTGCTGCCGCTGCACCGGTAGACAGGTGAGCCCCTGCTCGAGCTTGTAATAAAGACCCTTATGTACTTGCATCGGTGACGGCTCCTTAGGGGTCTCGGGACTCACGAATCAGGCACAACACTCTACATTCATGTTTAGGCCTTTTAACACTTAATTGTGTGTTCTTTTATGCTCCCATTTTAAAAGAACAAAAGTAATAAATAAGGCCATAAAAGATCAGTAGATCTCAAGACATGGCTTCTCAGGTTTATAGTCTACTTCTACTACATTGCCAAGATCCATTTTCAACATGAAAGACAAAAAATACTTTCTCTTCTTTATTAAAAAAAAAAATTGCTGACTGTCATTGCAGGAGTACTATTCTGTCTTTTCTGTAGCCAAACTCAGGAAGTTTGCTGCTTGGGGTGCATTAAATTGAACACAACCTAAAGAAGTATTGAAAGCGAAGAGTTTTTATTACTTGTCACAGGTACGGAGACAGGGAAATGACTCTCAAAGCACTGTCTCCCCTTGGGGTTCATGCATGAAGCTTTTGTTTAGTGTGCTAGGGAACAGAGCCAGGGCACTTGATACATAAAAGGAGCTTATACATATTTTGTTATTTGTAGTCACTTGGGTTCAACTTTGTATGCATAAGTATGTCAGCATACTAGTGCATACATTGTTTGGTCAAAAACATGGTTGGATTGTAAAGGTTACTTTAGGGCAACTCAGGGCACTTCTACATAAGTTGAAAGCTTCAAACTGGCTCACACAAGGGGGTATTTCTGGTGGAACACCTAGCCATAGCTGCTTGCCCTGCAAACACCACATTCTTTTCTGCTTTCCTTGCTTTTCCCCCTTACCCCTCCTCCCACCTGCTGATAGCTTGCCAACCCTCTGATAGGAGTAATTCCCCATTGCATCCTAGCTAAGATTTCCATTACAGATGTATAATATTTCTACCTTATGTGTTTAAAATACTTTTCTAATTTGGAAAATCTAGGTGAAGGGTAAAGGGAGTTCCTTGCACTATTTTTAACTTTTCTGTAGTCCTAAAATTATTTAAAAATTAAAAAGATTCTGTTTTAAATGAAGTATATTTGACATACAACGTTACATTAGTTTCAGGTATATTACATCGTGATTGGACATATCTGTATTTTTAAGTAGTCTCTGCACTCAATGCAGGGCTTGAAATTACAGCCCCCAGACCAAGAGTCTCATGCTCTACCAACTGAGCCAGCAAGAGACCCCTGGAAATTCTATACATTACTACCCAATGCTCGCATTGATAAGTATAGTTAATTTCTGTCACCATACAATGTTATTCCAAATTATTGGCTATATTCCCTATGCTGTACTTTTCAACCCCATAACTTGTTTTATAACTGGAAGTTTATACCCTTTGATCCCTTTCACCTGAAAAGTTGTTTTTGTTTTTTTTAAGCTTTTCCAGTTTTAACTTTAGAAAGCTCATTTCTATTTATAATTGTGAGTTTTAAACAAGTTAGAAACTTTTGGAATGCAGTTTATTTACAAATGAGGATTTGGTTCTCCATATCAATTCACTGTAATTGCTTTTTTCTGGTCCCAACTTTTAAAATGTTTACTGTCTTTTTTGCCATTGGCATTTTGTATTATTTTTCAACTTGTTTATATTGGTCTGCATTCCAAAGACAGAATGAACTCTATACTTCTGTGAAATGTATATATATTTGAAAAAAAATTGTTTGAATGTTTTTTATTTATTTCTAAGAGAGAGAGAAAGCGTGAGCAGGGGAGGGTCAGAGAGAGAGGGAGATACAGAATCTGAAGCAGGCTCCAGGCTCTGAGCTGGCAGTCAGCACAGAGCCTGACGCGGGGCTCAAACCCACGAACCATGAGATCATGACCGGAGCTGTAGTTGGAAGCTTAACTGACTAAGCCACTCAGGCACCCCTGTGAAATGTATATTTAAAGGGAATTGAACTAAAAGAATCTTAAGAACAAGTAAGATGTGAGAAAGCCTGTTTGATAAGCATCTGGAGGTATAGATCTGGGATGGCAGGTATCTATTAACACTCTTTCAGTCCATTGCAGTTATTGCTCATTGGTCATAGTACTCTTCTTCCTGAGTTTTTGTTCACAGTGTTCTAGCTATCTACTGTCAGTTGATTAGAGTTAACATGAATGACAGAAAGGCTGTTTGATATTTCTGACTTGGTGGATCAGTTTTTGGGAGAAATTTCTGGAATATCTGTTCTTTTAATTAATGAGCTTTTCCATCTGTTGTATGAAGTAACATAATCATAATTTTGGAAACCCAGTTATGTAAAGAATACCTTTTTTTTTTTTTTTTTAAATGTTTTATTTATTTCCAGGAGAGAGAGACAGCGTGAGCAGGGGAGGGTCAGAGAGAGAGGGAGTCACAGACTGAAACAGGCTCCAGGCTCTGAGCTGGCAGTCAGCACAGAGCCCGACGCGGGGCCCGAACCCACGAACCGCGAGATCATGACCTAAGCGAAAGTCGGACGCTTAACCTACTAAGCCACCCAGGCGCCCCAAGAATACCTTAATCATTGTTTCTTGTCCCTTAAATTTTCAGGTGTTTGTGCAGCCAATTGAATCTCTTAATAGATTATTCTTAAAGTATAATGTATTTTTTCTAAAAATCCATACACTTGCATGTCACATCTTTAACTTTTAATTGGGTAACATTTTTCAAAATGTTATTTATTTTTATTCTTGTGTTTTCTTTTCATTTTAAGGAATGGACCTACCCTATGAGACGAGAGATGCAGGTAAGATAACCTTTTTGTTTATTCAGGCCAATCCATATTATCATCAAATAACTGATTTCACAAAGGATTTGAGACCTGTTGGCTCATGATCTTTAGGTTCATCATTGAGAATTTAAAAAATCAACATATTTAAAGGTTAACATTAAAAGATGGGAAATGAATTGTTGCCTGCCTTCCTTATAGTAGAATCATGGTGATATATATCTGTATCTATAGATATGTGCTGAATTAGTGACTTTGGTTTTCCTTATCTGAAAAATTGGGTACAGTATTTATATTCCTTTTGGAAACAGTTTGCTTTCTGTGTTTGGCTAGTTTAGATAAGTCTAGAAGAGTTGACTATAACGCAAGTCACTCTTGAATAATTGTATCTGGTTTCCAGATACAACTTCTATAATGAAGTCCTCCAGGAGACTGATTTGAATACTCCAAATATGGAATGATAAAATGATAGCTAACCCTCATAGCAATTTGTTTTTCTTTTGCATTTCTTTCTTACAGTCACTTTGCTTGCCCCAGAATCAGGTGGTGTCTCCTGCTCCTGGAAATACTTTGACTTTTAAAAATAATGTTTCCTTTCTCTCTTAGTGAAAATTCTCCTTTAAAAAAATACCTTAGTATTTATAAGGCATTTTACTTGGTGCCGTGGGAAATGCTAAGATGAGTCAAATGTAATTTTGTGCCCACAAGCAGCTGATAGGAGAAATCAAACCTCTTCACAAATAATTATGATGTTTCATAGAACAGATCTACAAAATTATACTGTATTATTAACTAGAATATGATATAGCTCAACTAAAATATTTCTATATTGAATTCACGTAGCATCTAGCATTGGAAGTATTTAAATTGCTGAAACTGTCCATAGGCAAACAGTTGATACTGGTCTTTGTTAAACTTCGCAAGAATACTTTTATTAACTGAAGGGAACAGTTCTAATCTTGTTGTATCTTGTGCTACTTTTGATTTGGCTGAATAAAGTTTTGTGTAATTCCAAAGGGGTGATTTTTCTTTATGCCTACTTTATTTCTAGACTATAGCAGAGAATATAAGTAAAATAAGAGATGTTTTATTAATCTAAAAGCCAATCATACAGTATGCGTTTCATTTGATATATAAAGCAAATCTGCATTTCTCTTCCCAGTCTTTGCTCAATATGGCTAGGGAATGCTCCCTAAATAACAAGCTTTTAAATAAATTATTATAACAACTATGAAAACACTCCACAAGTCCACTTATGTGGTACATAGTTTGTATAGATTTAAATTGTTGATGGTAAATATCTTAATTTTTTTTTCTAGGAAATTTTACCTGGATTGTTTTTAGGCCCATATTCTTCTGCCATGAAAAGCAAGGTATGAACTTAGGTTAGGTTCATCAAGAGATTTATTAACAAGTCTTTTTGGAATAAATTTTTTTGTTGTAAGAGTTTTATTTGAGGGAATGTCCACAAATATTGCATGTCACTTTGGAGTACCTGCCTCTTTCTAAGTTTTACTGGGCCAGTGATTCTCAAATATTTCACCATAAATTACAAAATGAGCATTTATGTATTATTTTTTTTTGTGAATCCGTGTGTTTGAAAGACTTACCAAATAATTTATCCTCTAAAATATGAGGTATTTGTCATTGCTAATCATACCTTCTGAACAGTGAGATTGAATTAAAGCCCAAAATAAGTGTATTTAACATTTTAGTGCATCTCTCCTTATCAGAGGTAAATGTGTGTGTGCCTGTGTATATACATGTTGTAACTGATAAAATCTTGTTTCTGTTTTTCCAAACTTTAGAGACCTGGATGCTCCAGGTTGTAAAGCATTATACCACACATATATATCTCTGTCTCCTATACAGTCAAACTGAAATGAATGTCTTCACTTACACATTTAACATGGTAGATTCATTTTAATATATGTAACATATATTAAATGTTACATAATATATGTAACAATTTCCACTTCCTAGGGGATTCAGTCTTAGGAATTATGACAGTGCTACTAATTTGCTTTGAATTATGATGTGAAACATGGTATCACAAATGTTTTCCCCAGTACCTTATTTAGAAGTCAGTATTCTTGTGTATGATCTACTCAACCTATGGTAAGTTTTGTAAAAACTTATAAAAATTTTTTTCTATTTTTTTCTTTTCCTTTTTTGTTTTTTTTGGAGAGAGAAAGAGTGTAATAGGTGAGGAGAGAATCTCAAGCAGGCTTCACGCTCAGTGCAGAGCCTGATGCAGGGCTCAGTCTCGTGACCTTGGGATCATGACCTGAACTGAAATCAAGAGTAGGTTGCTCATCCGACTTCGCCACCCAGGTGCCCCAAAGACTGTAGAATTTTTAACTCTAATAATTTAATTTAATGTATTTATCAATATTAGGTGATTTGGGAGGTGTTTTTTTTTTTTAATGTTTATTTTTGAGAATGAGAGAGCACGAGCAAGGGAGGGGCAAAGAGAAAGGGAGACGCAGAATTAGAAACAGGCTCCAGGTTCTAGCTGTCAGCATAGAGCCCAACATGGTGTCTTGAACCCACAAACCATGAGGTCATGACCTGAGCTGAAGTTGGACGCTTACTTGATTGAGCTACCCAGGTACCCTTTGTTTGGGAGCTGTTTAGAATTAGAGTCATTTCTTTGAAACTGGAAGGCTTTCTGACTGTTGAGGCACATATGAGAGTAAACCCTGTTTTAATGGTCTACAGCTAGGTTAGAAAGGCAGGGTGTTGCTAAAAAAAAAAAAAAAAAAAAAAAAGAAAAGTACTAAGGAAAGGATAGAGTAGATAACTGTAGACTTAACTGTGATTTACTTAACAAAAGCCAAATAATGTAGTATTCACAAAGTAGTATTCACAAAAATGTTTAGATTATTTGCTTTTTGTATTCCCACAGCATTTTATAAATACAGTATTTGTCACATTAAATTATAAGTGTTTATAGATCTCAAAACCTCTTCACCATCAACTTTACCATGGTCTAGTTATTAGACTGAGGAGAAGTGTCTATGGTGAAATTTGATTATTTCTCATTCTGAATCACCATAGAACAGCTTGTATTCCTTTTTATCCATCATCCTAGACATATATAACAACAGCAAATAATAACAGATAAATCTTAGGGAATAAACTCCCTTTCTAGTACTCATTTAGTTAAGCCAATATTTTATTACATTTAAATGCAGTTTTAAAACGGACGAATTTAGGCTCTTTGTCAGTAGTGAACATTTTCTATTTTTACAGTTTTTTTCTGTAGTTTGTTGGTATGAGTAAGATCATAATTTGCTTTATATAAATGAAAATCTATTGAAAAATAAGACTATTTTGTGTGCTATTACATTTGGGTCCATTTTGTTAAGGTTTGCTTTATTACTTTGTGTTAAAGCAGATTTTTATCCATAATTACATATATCTTGTGATAAAGTATCTTTCTATATCACAAATAAGTATAAATAAAGAATGGATATTGAATACATTTTGAAAGTTTAATAAATGTGAATATGGAACATTGGTTAAATATTAATCCCACCAAGTGTTTATCTCCCTTTTAACTCAGGGTACACTCAGGAAATACAAAGATAATTAAACTCTATCTAATCTATGCCAGACATAGGAAATTTTACTGCAAAAATTAACATTTTATACCTTTGAAAACCACATTTTCTTAGCTCAGGCTGCTATAATAAAATACCATAGACCAGTGGCTTAAACATCAGACATTGATTTCTCCTAGTTGAAGTGGCTGGGAAATCTGAGATCTCGGTGCCAGCATGGTTAGGTTTTGGTAAGGGCCCTATTCCTAGCTAGCAGACGGCTGTGTTCTTGCTGTATCTTTATGTGGTAGCAGACAAAGTCCTGATGTCTGTTCTTCTTTTCAGGGCGCTAATTCCATGATGGGGGCTTTATCCTCATGACCTCACCTAAATCTCTGATTACCTCCCAAAGGCCCCACCTCCTAATACCATCACCTTGGAGGTTAGGGCTTCAACCTGCAGATTTTAGGGAGATAACAAATATGCAGTCCATAACAAATATAAATTATTCTCTGACTTCTCTGATGAATTATTAGTATTATGATTCTGGACTATTTAATGCAGAAAGTGGGAATTAAATATATGAGTATAAGCTGAAAGCTTCATAGAAAACTCAACATTAAGAATTCTAGTGGCGCCTGGGTGACTCAGTTGGTTAAGCATCCGACTTCAGCTCAGGTCATGATCTCACGGTTTGTGGGTTCGAGCCTTGTGTGGGGCTCTGTGCTGACAGCTAGCTCAGAGACTGGAGCTGGTTTCGGATTCTGTGTCTCCCTCTCTCTCTGACCCTCCCCTGCTCATGCTGTCTCTCTCTCAGAAATAAATAATTTTTAAAAAATTAAGAATTCTGATTCCTTATGCCAGCATGATTTGTTAATTTATTTAGCAAAAAGATAGTTATTGAACAGTTAATATGTTCAGGGCACTGTTATACATACTTAATATGAATCTGCGAACAAAATCATTGTTCTTGGAATTTACATTCTAACCATTAAAAATAATACATCATTTTATATTTATATATACATATACTATGTTATATATAGTATATTATATGTATATAACATGTTATATTAAATATTAACATTTTATGTATTAAATTGCTTTAAATATATAGCCAAAAAGGTGCCACAGAATATAAGATATCATTTGGAGTTTCCAGTTAATTTGAGAGAAAAATTTTTAAACTGAAATGTTAGTCTGTGAACTCTTAAGTTAATTCTGGCTTGTAGTAGAAAAGTAGACTGACAGAGGCAGAGAGATTTGAGCCCTGGTATTGCTATTAACTATGTCAGGGATGTTCAATAACTGTTTATGTCTTAGTGGTCCCTTCTAAGGAATAAAGAGTGTTGTCAGTATATATAACTACCATTTACTGAACGCTTGCCATGTGCCCCAGGCACTGTGCCAAACAACTTACATATATTATCTTCTATAATTGCTCCAACCACTTCGTGGAAAGGTTAGTACTGAGCCACATAGCTCAGGTCATTAGCAGAGCTGGAATATAGAGCTTGGGATTCTCATGACTCCAGAGCCCCTGCTTTTAACCACCACATAGTTTTGATTCCCAAATAAATTATCTTTAAGGTCTCAACACGCTCCAAAATTATGAATGTAAAATAGTCCTATTAGCCTTTTGAGGATATGTAGTATATATTAATCTTAAATCATTGAAATATCTTACTAATCACTTAGGTAAATTATTATAAAATGAGTTTTAATACCCTGCACTTAAGGCTTAGATATGTCTATGTAATTGTAATGTTCAGTCCTTTGTATTTTCAAACATCTGTGTTATAGCAAGTTGATGTTTTGTATTTTAAACTATTTCTCCCCCTTGTCCCTTTTTTTTTTTTTTTTTTTTACAGCTACCTATACTACAGAAATATGGAATAACCCATATAATATGCATAAGACAAAATATTGAAGCAAACTTTGTTAAACCAAACTTTCAACAGTTATTTAGGTAAGAATTATGGTTGTGATATATTAAAATGTTATGGGTAGCAAACATGTATTTTTATTTCAAGATGCTTTTATTATAGCAGATTTTGTACATAGCTGTTTTATAAGGATGACCATATAGGTATATCATTTAAAAAATAAACTTCCTTTAAATTCTTAAATAAGTAACTAATGTATACAACTTAGAGAGCTGCACTAAGTTTTTAAAGTTTCATAGTAATCCATTGAATAGTTATACTAAAATTTATTCAGCCTATCTCCTGTTGTTGGGCATTTAGATTGTTGCCAGTCTTTGCTAATATAGTAGGTATTCCTATATGTGTCATTTAATTCATGTGTGAATATATCAGTTGAATAAACTGTAGAAGTAGAATTGCTGCATCAAAGAATATGAGCATTTAAAATTTTAATGGATGTTGCAAATTGCCCTCCAGTGAGTTTTATCAGTTTACATTCCCACTATGAAATAAATGAGAAGAGACTCTTTCCTTGGTATCTCCACGACAGATTATAAAAGTTCTTAATTTGGGGCGCCTGGGTGGCTTAGTCGGTTAAGCGTCCGACTTTCGCTTAGGTCATGATCTCGCGGTTCGTGGGTTCGAGCCCCGCGTCGGGCTCTGTGCTGACTGCCAGCTCGGAGCCTGGAGCCTGTTTCAGTCTGTGACTCCCTCTCTCTCTGACCCTCCCCTGCTCACGCTGCCTCTCTCTCTCTCTCCTAGAAATAAATAAAATATTAAAAAAAAAAAAAATTAAAAAAAAAAAAAAGTTCTTAATTTTTCCCAATTTTCTAGAGTAAAAATGATGTCTCACATAGATGTAATTTGCCTTTCTCATTTATCTTCTAATGAGTGTGGTTGAGCATCTTATGGTTTTTAGTTTTATTTTAACTTTATTTTAAAAATAAATAATATATATTACAGTGATGTGAAAGAGTGCAAAAAAGGTGTATAAATAAAGTACATCTTTTTCCTCCTCTAAACCAAGCCCCAGCTTCTCTCCTGGGAGGCAGCTGCTATTAACTCTTAAATATTCTAGAGATATTGTGTATCTATATAAAAGCATATATGTTAAAGATATTTTAATGCTCTGATTTATTGTTTGTAAAAATGAAAGCAACTTGATTGTGCATCAGTACAGGACATTGTAAAATATATTGTGTAGGAGTGCCTGGGTGGCTTAGTCGATTGAGGGTCCGACTTTGGCTCAGATCATGATCTTGTGGTCTGTGAGTGGAAGCCCCGCATCCCGCTCTGTGCTGACAGCTCAGAGCCTGAAGCCTGCTTCGGAATATATGTCTCCCTTATTCTCTGCCCCTGTCCCACTTGTGCTCGCTTGTTCTCTATATCAATACATCAGACATATGTTCTTGTATATGTATGGAAAGTTTCTAGGTGAACAGACCAGAAATTTGAGAGTGGATGCTTCTGAGAAATTTAGGGTCTGGGTTGGGAGAGGGGCCTGCTTTTTTATTGCAAATATTTTTATACTGTTAGATTTTTTTTTTTTACCATGTGTGCACATTTTTCAGTTAACAAAAACTTTTTTAATGATTATTTAATGATTATTTTTGTAAAGGGAGTACTCACGCCCGTGAGCGGGGGAGGGGCGTAACATTTTGTCATATTCCTTCTAAATCTTACTGTTATACAAATGTGTATTATATATACACACATATAGACTTACATATATTAAAGAAAATGAAGGTGTTATATTTAAAATGCCATCCAATACATTTCTAATTTGTGTTTTTGTTTTTAGTACCAAAATGTCCTGTGTGCAGCTATTTTATCCTAATGGAAAAATTCTTTCTCCTTAGATTTAGAATATTGGCTTATAAATTGATAGTTCTTCTAATAGTTTTTGACACTCAAAATGGCATGCAATAAAATATTTTAGATTGATGCTGAATTAACCTTTTTTCCATGAAGCTGTGTTTTATGTTATGGTTCAGTCTACACAGTCACTTTAAGATATAGCCATTGTCAGAATCCTTTTGGTTTTTACATTGGATTATCCTTGAATACTGAGTTCTAGCTTCTCTGTGATAAACCCAGAAATTACTGAAATTGTTAACCACCTAAGTGAATGCTAAAGACCTGTAATTTTTAAGGCAATATAAAATTAATTTTGTAACTTAGTTACTTTAGTTGTATTAATAAACAGGTAGTCTTGGATAGATGAGAAATGGAAGTTTTTCACAAAATAAAATAAGTCTAGGGGCACCTGGGTGGCTCAGTCGGTTGAGCCTCCGACTTCGGCTCGGGTCACAATTTCATGGTTCGTGGGTTCGAGCCCTGTGTCGGGCTCTGTGCTGACAGCTAGCTCAAAGCCTAGGACCTGCTTCTGATTCTGTATCTCCCACTCTTTCTGACCCTCCCCTGCTCACGCTATCACTCTCTCACTCTCAAGAATAAATAAAACATTAAAAAAAATAAGTCTGGTATATGAATAATATCTTATTTTCAGTGTTTTCCAAAGTGTAAAGTTGTAGGACATGTGGTCTCTCAGTTGATTTTTGCTCTCCTGAAGGTTAATTAAAGCAGTGAATGTATGACTCCATCAGACCTCTTTTTTTTTTTTAATTTTTCTTAATGTTTTTATTTTATTTTTTTTATTTCTGAGGGAGAGAGAGAGAGAGACAGTGTGAGCAGGGGAGGGTCCAAGAGATAGGGAGATACAGAATCTGAAGCAGGCTCTAGGCTCTGAGCTAGCTGTTAGCACAGAGCCCGACACGGGGCTCGAACCTACACTCTGTGAGATCGTGACCTGAGCCAGTCGGATGCTCAACCGACTGAGCCACCTAGGCACCCCCAGACCTCTATTTAGATTACCTTCTTCTATTTCAGGCTCTGGGCTTCCTCTGAAGTGTCCTCTGTAGGGTTGTGAGAAGGGGTCATAGGGCCACTCAGAGAAGAATCTTTTAGTCCATAGGGAAGTTAGTAGAAATAGAATAACAATAATGAAAACAGATACTTTTTGTCTTTATATTCTAGGTCCACTCTGATGTAAAGTTTCTGCCTTCTTGTGAAGTTTCAGTTTTAACCAGATCGATTTTTTGTACTATAAAATATCAGAAATGTTAACTTGTTATTTAAGGCTAAAGCATTTAAAAATGCTACACATTTAAACAGTATAAAATCTATGACCCAATTCTTGGGAATATGACACTATGAATGTTGTTTTGCATTATTTTTTTGGTTGCCAAGAATTTTGAAAATTTTTTATACGTAGAATTTTATCTGGAAGTGTACTTATCACGAAATACTCTGTTTTCAGATATCTAGTCTTGGATATTGCAGATAATCCGGTTGAAAATATAATACGTTATTTTCCCATGGTAGGTATAAAGTTTTTTAATATTTAAAATTTGTGATTTGACCTCTTAATTATGGTTCTAAAACTTAGTAATAATTAAACTAATTCCTTCTTATACTGTTTTACTTTGTTATTACTGAAAATTGTGGGATTATATTTAAAGACTTACTAAAATCTTTAATGATCTCCAAATATCTGAAAAGTCACACTTTGAATTTATTAAATTCAAATTAAATTTTGGCTCCTGTATAATTTAAAAAATTTGTAATAGTCACTTTTGTAATATTTTGTAAATTCTTGAATTAAGGTAATTCGTATTCCTATAAATTAGCTGGATTTTTTTTCAATAATTTTTGTTTTACTGTATATTTGTATTTTATGCTTTTATTAATCCAGATGTTTTATTAAGACACATTGTCTTTTGCCTTCAGACTAAAGAATTTATTGATGGAAGCTTACAGACTGGAGGTAAATATTTTCTTTACATAGCCAGTGTTTATTTTCAGGAGATTATGTGTTATAGTTAATGTTTTAGTTGCCATTGTCTTAAATGCAGGATATGGAAGTTGGCATTGTATGTAATAGACTATTACCAAATTTGTTTTTTCCCAATTCCTTGTTTCATTTGGATAGGCTTTCTTAAGTATTCCCTTGTATCTATTTTCGAATTGCGGGTCAGCTTTAAATATCTTTAATTTCAAAGTTTGTAGTTAATATAAATTGTAAAGCTTGAAAGTTAATAAATATCTAGGTGGTATGTATAAAATAAAATGTTTAAGAAACGATTTATTTTACTGTGGCATAATATATGGTTTCAATATATTTTAGTTGCTGAATTAGATATATTTTTTTTGTCAGAATAACTTTCTTGTTTTTCAGGAAAAGTTCTTGTCCATGGAAATGCAGGGATCTCCAGGAGGTATGAAGTTAGAGATTATCTTTTTTTCTCTAGCATTTAATTAATGAGTTGTGTTTTTTATTTTTTTCTAAACCTTTTTCCCCCTCTTCAGTGCTGCCTTTGTTATTGCATACATTATGGAAACATTTGGAATGAAGTACAGGTAAGAAAGTACTCTGAAACCTAGCCAATTTAAATTCTCATTAAAATGAAGCTTAATGGAAACAATGTGGGAGTTTGAAGTTGATATTCTCCTCATTTTGTCATGTAGTCATGTTTGATTCGGAAGGCCCTGATATTCCAGGCTTAGTCTCTTTTCCTTTGTAGCTTGTCTACCTTGTGTAGATTTTGTGGTTTTAGGGAACTAGTGCTAAATGTTATTTTAAGAAGCCATTACAGTTACAGTTGGAGATAACCCTTGGAAAAGTAATTATTTACTACTGGAGAATTGTTTAGTCTGAGTTTAAAAACACTTAGACATACACACACACACACTCTTACACACAGATGTTTATTGCTTCCCTTGTTTAAAAAGCTAATTTATTACGTTTTCCTGTAACAGTAGTTGGGTGAAAAATTACTTAGAAGTTATTTCATCTTCTATTCATAATTCAGTGTAGTCTTTCTTATCCAGAACCAATTTTTCTTAGCATACTACCTGGATATAAAAGAGAGAGCCCCAGAGCAAAAGAAAAACCTGGCCAATATACAGTGTTTCCTTTTCCTAGTGTGTCTTGTACAAGTTAGAAATCTTGTAATCATTGACACCTCCGTGTCATTCACTTCTCATCTCCCAAACTGACCCATTCATTACCAACCCGTTTTATATCACAAAGTATACCTTGAATTTGTCTTATCTTTCTCTTCATCGTCATTTAATCTCCTAATGTGAGCTCTAATCATGTCTTTCTTGGATTCTTCCAACGGTAGCCTTCTTAGTGGTTTCATGTATTCTTTTCTTTCTCTAGTCCGTTTTTTTTTCTGCACTACAGTCGGAGTTATCTTTTCAAAAAGATAAATCAGATCATGTGATCACCTTACCCCCAAAAGCTCTCAAAGGTTTCTGATCCTTAATAATTCTTAACATGGCCAGTGAAACTTTGTATTATATGCCTATATCAACTCCTCCATCATTATACCATGTTCCCTGTTACTGTCTTCATTTGAGCTGTATTCAGCATTGGATCCACATGACTGACACATACTAGACATTCAAATGCTTGTTTAATTTGTTTGGTATCCTTTGTGTTTAAATTTCTTAAAAGAATCAGTTCTTAGGGATACCTGGGTGGCTCAGTTGGTCGAGTGTTTGACTCTTGATTTTGACTCAATCATGATCTCAGGGTCGTGAGATCAAGCCCCACATTGGGCTCTGCACTGGGCCTAGAGCCTCCTTACGATTGTCTCTTTCTTTCCCTCTTCTTCTGCCTCTCCCCACTCCCCTGATCACACACATTCTGCCTCTCTAAAAAAATAAAAAGTGTCAGTTCTTAATATTATTTGCATGCAGATGCTTCATTTATTTAATTGAAAAAGATTAATCCTTGGTAGACTTTATGTTTTATATATTCTCTTTACTTTTGATGTCTTGTCAGTAATAATAATAGTGAAAATAGCTTCTATGTATTTGTTCTGTGGCAGGTACTATTCTAGGCTCTTTTATCTCATTTAAGCCTTAGAACAACACAAGGGAGTAGATACAGTTCTCGTTTAAACAATGGTGATATTTTGAGCATGTGCTGTGTAATAGATGTTATACCAAGGTGCTTTACACTTATTATCTCCCATCTTTACAATAGCTCACAAGTTAGAAATTTTTATAATCCCCAATTTTTATTTTTATCTAAAAATAAAGTTTAGAAAGTTGAGCACCTTCCCTTAGAACACTAGCTGGTAAACAAGAGGGATTATGATATTTCATCTGACCATGCTGTTGATATTTCCTCTACATCTCACCACCTCTCTGTAGTACAACCTGTATGATTATGATTTCCTATTTTAGCTAAATTCTGAAAAAAGTGAGATTAATTTATGAAATACTAACATCACCTTTTCTTTTTTTGTTTTTAGAGATGCATTTGCTTATGTTCAAGAAAGAAGATTTTGTATTAATCCTAATGCTGGATTTGTCCATCAACTTCAGGTAACTTCTTCATCTTTAATTAAGCTGGTCAGAAAATAGGATAATTAAAATCTTATGTCCATGTAGTTTAAGGGTAGAATTCACTTTAAATACTTAAAAATTGCCATAATCTATTCATTTAATTTTATTATTTTTTAACTTTTTATTTTTATTTATTATTATTTTTTAAATGTTTTATTTATTTCTAAGAGGGAGAGAGAGAGTGTGAGCAGGGGAGGGTCAGAGAGAGGGAGACACAGAATTGGAAACAGGCTCCAGGCTCTGAGCTAGCTGTCAGCACAGAGCCCGATGTGGGGCTCAAACCCACGAACCGTGAGATCATGACCTGAGCCGAAGTCGGATGCTCAACCAACTGAGCCACCCCGGCACCCCTATTTTTTAACTTTTTAAATTTATTTTAAGTATAATCTCTACACCTAACATAGAGCTCAAACTCTGGACCCTGAGACCAAGAGTTGCACACTTCTCCAACAGAGCCAACTAGGCACCTCTTAATTTGATTTTTTATTCAAGTTTACATTTCCAGTTAAAAGTATTTTCTTCTTTAAAGTTCATTTATTTATTTTAAGAAAGAGTGAGGGAAAGAGAGAATCCCAAGCAGGCTCCACAGTGTCACTGTAGAGTCCAATACTGGGCTCAGACTAACAAATCGTGAGATCATGACCTGAGCCAAAGTCGGATGCTTAACCAACTGAGCCATCCAGGTGCCCCTCAAATTTTCAAGAAATCTGTGTTTTCTTGAAAGTTACTATTACTGTGAAAAAAAGAATAAAGGCAAATTGTTAAATGTAAGATAAAACAGTTGATGTTAGAAATTTTTTCAGTTTTTTTCCTCTCTTTTGATTATACACACAGAGATAAGAGTTTTGATTCTAAGTATACTATGTATAGCAGCTTTTATATGCTATTTTATAGGCTTTATCTTTTCCATGTTTTGAATTTTGTTGGTATTTAGAAGTTGAACTAAAACTACAGTAAGATAAACTTAGGAGGTATCTGATTAAATGGTTTATTTAATTTTTTCAAAAAAGGAAAATCAGAGATGAGAGAATGTCCTCTGGCTGATTCCACCCAGTTATGCAGGAATAAATCTTACATTGAGACATCAAGAGCATTACAAAATTGATTGTCTCAGTTACCAAGAGCATTACAAAATTGATTGTCTCAGTTACCAGGCTTTAAATTTTACTTCTCTTTTTTCTTCTTTCATTTTAGTTTTTACTTCATTCATTTAAAACAGAAACTGGTATCTCTTGTTTATGTAAAATGTTTCTTTTTACTCTCATTTTAATTGTGTTATAAAATATAAAACTAATAAGTTTTTGTCTTTTAACACTGGTATAAAACATGGTCTTTTAAAATTGATTTTGGTATTTGAAAAACTAATATATACTATATATACTTATGGTAATATATACTTAGGATTAAAATTCAATAACATATATGACTGTAACAGCATAATATTTTTATATGTACATATGCATCATAACCTCATATGATTGATTCTTTATACATAAACCTTTAGATCGTCTCTAGCCTTTCATTATTATGAACAATATTGGGAAAAGTATCCTGGTAGGTACATGTGAATATGCCTATAAGATATACATATAGAGAGAAGAATAGCTGATCAGAGAGGCATTTGAAATTTGATGTTATCAAAATAGTTTTTTTAAAGGCTTAAATAATATAAGCCACCAGGAAACAAAGAGTACCAGTTTCCCAATACCCCATTCAGTACCAATGGCCAAAAGTATTTTATCAGATTTTTCTGATCATTGCCATCATGGTGGTAAAAGTGGCAATGTCCATGGTTTGCACATTTTTCTATCAGATTCTTGGTCTTTTTGTCATTGGTTTGTAAGAGCTCTTTGTATATTAAGGAACCTATTCTTAGCCAACTGATTTGAAATGCCATTTTTATTATATACTGAACTCTTATCTATATTTGGGTCTGTTTCTGGACTTTGTATTCTATCCCATTGCTCTGCTTACTGCTGCAATTATATATTGTATAAGTAACTTACGGTATAGCTCACGATTTCCTTATTAATGTTCTTTCAAGAATTTTCCTGGCAAGTTGTTAACATTTATTTTTTTGCATAAACTTTACTGGAAAGAGCCCTATACTTTTTATATTATAACTATGCTTACCATTCAGAAAGAATTGACACCTTACATTTTTAGTCTTTGTCTCTGAGAATACATTCCATTTTTTCAAATCAATATCTGTGTCCTTTAGTGTTTTAAAGTTTTCTTTCTGGGGCCTCATGGGTGGCTCAGTCCATTAAGCGTCTGACTTCCACTCAGGTCATGATCTCGCTGTTCAAGCCCTGCATGGGGCACTGTGCTGACAGCTCTGAGCCTGTAGCCTGCTTAGGAATCTGTGTCTCCTTCTCTCTCTGCCCCTACCCCTTTCTCCTGCTGTGTCTCTTTCTCTCTCTCAAAAATAAATATTAAAATATTAAAAAAAAATAAAGCTTTCTTTTTGTAGAATATATGTATTTTTTAATGAAGTTTACAGTACCCTATATTCAACACAGTTTACTTAGCGCAATAGCCAGAATCTTATTACAGGTTATCCCTCCACTTAAAATAAAAGCCACGGTCCTTATTTACAATAGCTTTTATGGCCTTACATTTGCAGTCCTTTACCTCTCAGTTCTAATCTCCTACTATCCCATTTGCTTACTATGTATGTTCCAGTCAAATTGACCTTCTCACAATTCCTTAAAAATACTATGCATGTTCTCATCTCAAGGCACTTGCCCTTATTCCTCGACCTAGAATGCTTTCCCCCAAATATCTGTATGGCTTGTTCCCTTAATTTTCTTTTGACTGCATTATTGCAGTAGCTTTCTAATAGGTATACTCGCTTCTGTCCTTACTCCCTAAACTCCTATAATCAAAAGAAAATATTAGTTCGGACAAAAGTGGTAGCAAGGGAAAAGGTGAGAAGAGATCACATTTTGGATTTGGCAGTATAGCTGACAGGATTTGCTGATGGATAGGATATGAAGAGAGAAGATTAAGATGAATCTAAGCCTTTATGAAAGATATGAAAGAAACTCCATGAGAAGATTTCAGGGGAATAAAATCCAGTTCGTTTTGGGTTATGCAAAGGTTGAGAGGGCTGTTAGACAGTAGGCAGTTATACACATCAAAGTCCAGAGTTCATGGGAAAGAACCACATATCTAATTAGTATCATTATATAGATGCTATTGAAAGCCCCAAGATTGGGTGAGATCACTAGGGGAATGTGGATAGAGAAGAATTTCCAAAATAGAACCCTGATGTACTCCAACATGTAGAGGGTGGGGAGATGAGGAATGAGCAGAAAAGATTGAAAAGAATGGCCAATGGAAATAGGAAAAAAATCATGGTGGCTTGTTGTTTGGGAAGTTAAGAGAAGGAAGTGTTTGAAGAAGTAGGAAATGATCCATTGTTTCAAAGGCTGATAATAGGTCAAATAAGATAAGGGCTGAGAATTAACATTGGGTTAGGAACATGAGGTCATTGGTGTCCTTGACAAACAGTAGAAGGTGAAGGATAAGCATAATTGGTCAGAGTTCAAGGAAAAATGGGAAGAGAGGATTGTGAACAGCAAGAATAGATAATTTTAGGAATTATGCTTTGAAAGGGGAATCAGAAGTGACAGCTGGAGGGGAAATTAGATATTAAGGGGGATTTAATTTGTTTTCTAAAGTCTAGCATATTTGCTGTCTGGGACAATTCCTGGAGAAAAGAGGAAATTGATATTATGCCAGAATTAGATAGTATGGTCTATTCTTTGTTGATTCTATTATGTTTATTATTTTTGTGGTTTTTATTTTTTTCTCTCCCATTGAACTCTGAGAGTTTATATGCTCTTATTAGATTTCTTCCCTGAGTCCTTTTACCTCTTCTTTGGACTCATTTCAGAAATGCCATATTCTCATTGATTTCATGGAGAATTAATCATTTTCATCTGCTTCATGGAGTGATTTTCATGCTGTATTCTTGATATGACTTTTGGTTATAGTGTTGCTTTTTTTCCTCTTGTGACATCTTTATGCTAAAACCTGCAGTGGTTCCTTTTTGATTATAGGTCGTATTTGAATTGGAAGTATTCTTAGATCAGCTATTTGCCCAACAATAAAGTTGTGGGAGAGGGACGTGAGTAGTGGTTGGGGAAGGCAGACAGCTTAAATTTTCCTAGTTGTCTTGGAAGACTTTCTCACCAACACTTTTCTCTGGTGGTATGACTACTCAGTGGAGTAGGAAGCAGAGTACCCCTGTGCCATAGATTTTTCTTGTTTAGAGTGTTGAACACCTCATGCATGTTAGAATTACCCAGAGGAAGCTAATCTAAACTTAAATGAGAATCACTGGTTATAGGGCTTGGCCACGCACACACACGTGCACACATTTTTTTTAATATTAAAAAAAAATTTTTTTTTTTTTTTTTTTTTGAGAGAGAGACAGAGCACAAGCAGGGTAGGAGCAGAGAGAGAAAGAGACACAGAGTCTGAAGCAGTCACCGGGCTCTGAGGTGTCAGCACAGATCCCGATGTGGGACTTGAACTCATGAACTCTGAATTCATGACCTGAGCTGAAGTGGAATGCTTAACTGACAGCCACCCAGGCACCCCTATATATATATTTAAAGCCTCTCAGGTGATTTTTAGGTATAACCAGACTTGAGAATTACTGGCTAAGCTTTTAACTAAGATCAGATGCTTGGCTTCATACTTCACCTTACTATCATATAGCTTGTATCTTGCAAAAATATCATGTGTGGGCATTTACATTTTCCTTAATATGCCCTACCTCATCCCACAGCCTACTCTCATTTCCTATCATACTATTCAAGGGCTTTAGTTTTATCTTAGGCACCACCTTTTTTTGGAGAACTCTGAAGTGTACCCATTCTGCCTGATTTCTGTAGTCAGGCATCTTATGTCCTAGCTGGTTCCATTTTTTGTTTGTTTTTAATTTACTGTGAAATATAATACACATATAGAAAGTGCATAAAATGTAAATACACATCCATGCAATCACCATCAGGTCAAGAAACCAAACCTATGCTATGATCCCAAAAGCCCTTGTAATGCCCCATCCCGATCACAGACACTCTTTATTCTTTTATAAAGGTAACCACTGTTCTGACCTATTTGGTAATCATTTCTTTACTTTTTATTCTTCTCATATTTATGGTTATGGTTGTTTCCTAGTTTCGTCAAATGAGGTGTTCTAGTTCTTGTTTTCAGAAAGGGGAGAGAGAAAGAAATGCCTGTTATTCTTTCATGTTTGGAAGTAGAGGTTTATTAATTTTAAGGGATTAGAAAACCAAATACATATTTGAATCCATTAAATGCCTTATATTAGTCTCATTTTTAAAGTGGCTCCTGGGTGACTAAGTCGTTTGAGCTTCCAACTTTATCTCAAGTCATAATCTTGCAGTTTGAGTTAGAGCCTCATGTCAGGCTTTCCACTATTAGTGTAGAGCCTGCTTGTGATCCTCTTCCTCTCTCTGCCTCTTCCCCTCCTGCATGCGCACTCTCTCTCTCAAAAATAAATATTAAGTAAATAAATAACTTTTCAAATAGGGACTGATAACAGTATTAAGGTGCAAGAAGGAGAAAGGAGCAACACGTTAACATTAAAAAATATTTTACAAAACCTTTTTATCTTCATTGAATTTTATTTCACTTTCTTCTTACAATCATTTTATGAGATTGCTTGTTTGGGTTTGTGGTGTGTGTGTGTGTGTGTGTGTGTGTGTGTTTGTTTTAACAGAGGAGGTTAGAGATCATGTAACACCCCAAAGGCTTGTGTTTTAATAGAGGACGTCAGAGATCATATAGCTAATTTCCCATTGGCAGAGAACATATACTATCAGTTCAACATATGATAACCCTAATGCAAGCAAGTAGCTTGGCTTGACTGTAGTTTCATTACTTAATGTGAAATTATGAGGTAGGAATATTAAACCTGCATTTTTCTTACAACAATATGGCACCAGATTTTTCAGTATCAACTAAGAATACCAATAATGTACACGGTAATCACTGTTTTGGGTACCCAAGAATTTAAATGTATATTCAAGTTAATTAAATCTTTTTTAGGAATATGAAGCCATCTACCTAGCAAAATTAACAATACAGATGATGTCACCACTCCAGATAGAAAGATCATTATCCGTTCATTCTGGACCCACAGGTAAGGATGTTTTTCATTTTGGAGAAGGTTGGGGAGATATGATGATATGAAAGGTAGAAAGCGTCTTTTGCTGTTTATTGGTTATAGTGAAAACTTCAAATTGTTTAGAAAACATTGGGTAGACTTTGAATTAAAACAAGGTAATTGCAAATTTTAACTTTATACTGAATACGTGTGTATTAAGTTTCTACTGTGTAAACACTACTGTACCTGGTTAATAGAATATGCTAGTTGGAAGATCACATTTCTGCTTGGTTTTAGTTTAAGTCTTTAAGCAGTATAACTGCTGCAAAGATTAAAATAAGAGGGATCTGGAAAAGAGGTTTTAAGTACACTCCATGATCTTATTAAAAATAAAAGATGGTTAATAAATGAAAGCATGTTTCAAGTTAAGTATGGTGACTAATGTGAGCTACCCCAGTTTTTCTCTTGTCACTAATATTTCAGTCCCTTTCCCTTTCTTCCCTTTTTCAGAGCACACTCTCCCCTATTTTTAAAATTAATGATCCAAGCATGCTCTCAGAATCTTTTATCTTTCTTCACCAAGACCTTGTTACCCTTGTTTGTCTTCTTTGCTTTTAACTCAATCTCAGCCTCTTTCAGGTTCATATATTGGCCTCCTATCAAACTCTAACTTTGTTCATTCTTGCCAGATTTACTTTCATAAAAGATAGTTCTAATGTATCTTGTCTGTACAAAAGATACATTAGATTCATTGGTTTAATTCCTACAGAAGAAAACAGTGTCATAGTAAGTAAAGGTGCTTCTGATCTTCGTAGCTCTCTGAGTTCCTCTTTATATATGCATTCCAGAAAACTGAACTTATTTATGATTTTATGTCTTCTTTTTCTCTACCTAGAATCTCTCTACCCTTAAAAACTTAGTTTACACGTTATCTCGAGAAATGATTAACTTAATCTTCTTCCAGTCCCTGGTTATTTGGAACGCCTATCCTCTAGAACTTTATTTGTACCTTTTCACTTTCTGCTTGCATTAGTTATTTATGTCTCATCTCTTTTAGAGCCAAGTTCAGCACTTCATCTGAAACTCAGCTGTAGCAGCTGTATTTAGCTTTATGGATAGAATATTTTCTTTACTCCATTGCCTTGATTTTATACTTTGATCTGAATTAACATTACTACCATGATTTAGCCCAACCTTTTGGGCATAGCTTTTAAGCCTGTGCCATTGTTAGGCAGATAACACAATAAACCCTTTACCAGTTTAATTGTTCCCCTAAGTTTTCCTCCATGGAGACTCAGATTTCTTGATTTTAACTATTGGCCATGAAGGGATAGCTTTGATTCTATGTGGAAAATTTCTGTACTAGCAGACCTGATGTAAAGAGTAGGTAAAATAAAATCTCTTCTTTATCTGCTCTGTGACATCCCATCCTTTCTCATAGTTGTAGACTTTTTGTTTATACAACCACAGCTTCACTGGACAAATATTTTCAGCAGTGTCAGTGAAAGCAAAAAGATAATCCTATCTACAAAAATTCTATTTTCAGGCTATTTTAAAAATCAATGATTGTGGGGCATCTAGGTGCCTCAGTTGGTTAAGCATCTGCCTTCAGCTCAGGTCATGATCTCATATGAGAGACTGTGAGTTCGAGCCCCATATTGGGCTCTCTGCTGTTGGGGTAGAGCCTACTTCAGATCCTCTGTCCCTCACCCTAGCCCCTCCCCTGCTTGTTCTCTCTCTCTCAAAATAAATAAATAAATAAATGTTAATGTTTGTTATTTGTAATACCTAAGACATAGTTAATTCTCAAAAGGGGAAGTGTATCCTGTCATGAAGATATAAAATTATATAAGTTCCCATTATATGTTATATTCATGCAATAATTTTTAGGCAGTTTGAAGAGAACACATGAAGAAGAAGATGATTTTGGAAACATGCAAGTGGCGACTGCACAAAATGGCTGACTCAAGAGCAAGATTATAGAGGATGTGAATTTCTATTTGGGAAGGAGAAAATACTAGAGATGATAATAATGTAAAATGATAAAAATACAAATAGGTTTTTTTTTCCCCCCAATTATATGTTGCTTCCAGACATGTTTCTCTGCAACTTGTTGAGCAACATTTTAAGAAGATGTTGGACTTCTGCAATAGATGGCACTGATGGTTTTACTCCTTTTTTCCTTTTTTTTTTTTTTTTTTTTTTTTTACACTTTACAGTTTTATTATAAACCAAGAATTTTGGACTTGCAAAGAGGTATTATTGCAATAATGCACTTTTCATACTTGAAATTTATTTGTATGATATAAAGTTATTACTTTAACAAAATGTAAGTTGGGGGGATTTGTTTATAAAATCTGGGTAATTTATAACGAGAATTTCCTAAAGTTTGCTAAAAATTCATTTTGTGTTCTATATATTACATTTAAAAAATGATTTTACAGTTCACTTTTATGATGGAACCTCTTACGGAAACATTAACAAATGCAGATATCTGCCACATATCTGTTTTAGTATAATTCAGTAGCTTCATTACCTTTTTATTTTTTTAAACTTCTTTATCCCTTATTAGTAATCTTTGAATCATGGTATTAGCCAGCTCTTCTTACTTTAACATGATCCAAGTATTGCTTCCATTCCTTTTATCCTCCTAATTTGTTTATTCTAAAGAAAAAAAGTATAATGAACAAATGAAGATGTCTTGCTTGGTAATACCAGATACTAAAAAACAAGGAGTTTTAGACTTTTGAGTGACTTTCTTTTTTTCCTTAAAAGCCAAATGTTGTTTGTTCTTTTTAGAGTTGTTTAGCCCATTTTTCTTTATCCAAAATAGTTCTAAATAGAATATAAAAGCCAATGTAGCACTATTTTTTTCTAAATGAAGCCCAAAAGAGAAAAGTGCCTTGCATTATTAAAAAATTGAAAATAAAAAAATAAATCTTCACGACCTCTAAATTAGTATGTAGAACAGTGAAAAGTTTTAACGTTCTTCTGTAATTTCTTTTTAACTACACATTAATTAAAACAGAGTCTGAGGCTTAAAGAAACCTCAGTATTTAATGTGAAATATTTACTCCTTCATTTTGTTGTCTTAATTTGTTCTGGCTCAGATAGCAGCTTTTCATTTATTGGGGAAGTGGTTTGTGAGAAACCTCATTGTATTTAAAATTAGTGTTTTAATTCTTTACATTAAGTTAATCCAAATTTCCCCATAACTTGCATTAAAATCACTATATGGATCCTTAATTCTCCATTATTTTTATTTATACATATAAAGATTGTTCTAAGAAAAACATTTTTGCTGTTTTAAGTATGCCATGAAGGGAGGAGAGGAGTGTTTTTAACTTTTTATAGTTGATTTAGGGTAGCACAAACAAAACTCCTTTATATCTCACTTTTCAGTCCTCTCTTGAGGTGCTTTACTGATGGGAATGATTTCCATACGTTCCCTTGGTACCAACAGGTACTATGCAAGGTAACCCATTACACCAAGTTACTTGCTTTGCTTTCCTCCCTACAATGTAATATAATACAGTAAAAAGCTTTTTTAATCCAGCATAGCAGGAGAGTGGAAATGAATTTAAATTGTTATTAATTTAAGAGTTAATTCCTGACTGAGGTGGTATTCTTCTTCTGATTCCCTTCTCTTCCCGTTTTACCACCTTGAGAAGAGCCTATTATTAATCCCACTGTGGTTTTGTATTCTGTTGTGTGATTAGGTCATGGTATGGTAGTCTAGTAGAGTCAAGATTTGCATTGTGTTCAGAAATTCCACTTGGCAAAGTGCCAGATAACACAGCTTTCCTGTATATAGTTCACTATATAGGTCAGCAAAGATCTCTCTTGCAATCTAATAATCTGTGATGTTTCTTCATTCAGCAGAAATTCTTCTTAAAAGAATCCTCATAATACTACATTTAGGTTTTAAAATGAGGGAGTTAAGATTTTTAAAATAGTTTCTTAAATACACATATCCTCTCTAGTCTGGACAAAAATACAGATTTGGTCATTTATTAATTTAAAGCTGGTAATTTTCCACTTTTCCTAACCACTGTTAATTTTTATGTTGTCACTAAAGTGCCTGCCCAGCACTGTATATTAAAGACTGTCTCCTGAACACTAGGAAAAGGGACTATCATCTTCTTGAGTACAGTTCTTATGGGGACAAAACATGAAGTTTCTTTCATGTAAAAATACCCCATGTTTTTTTCACCTAAGTTCACCTAGTTCTGGTAGTCTTCTATTTTATTCCATTTCTATAATTCTTTTTTCTACAAATGTTTTGTGATAGTTACTTGTAACATACCTATACATTTAACCAATCATGATTTATTTTCTAGACTATTTGAATAATGTATGAGTGATGCAGCACCCACTTTTAAACATTAAATACGTAATCTGGGCAAGGATTTAAAGTGAAATTGCAGGAAAACTGCTTTATTGTCCACTTTAAAAGTATGAAACAAGTATTGAAAATATTCAAACTGGAATGGCAGTATTCTTCTAATTTTAATTAGTTCATGTTAGTTTCTTAATCTATTAGGTGTCTAAAGAGCAGTTACCTTTATTTGTATCTACTCTACAGTGGAAATGTTAAACCATGATAGCTTCTGGCTTCTGATACCAACTCTCAACCACTTAACTTTTAGAGCAGAATATTTGTTTGGGGGGCGGGGGTGGCTTTTGTGCTTCATCTAAGTTTAGAAGTAATGTCAGAAAATGTTAAGCATGTCTTTTTTAAGAAAATATAAGGTTTCTAATTGTCTAATTACCATGGTAATTCAAGTGAATTAGAAATATTTAACTGCAATCTTGAATTATAAAGTTGGGACGTGTATATACACACACACACACACACACACACACACACACACACACATCAGGATCTCAACTTGATGTAAAGTAAATGAGCAGTTACCTGGCGGATTTTTTTTTTAACTGGTTTAATCCGTAATTCCATAACAAACATAGATTCACTTCAGTATTTATCTTTGTCTCTCCCAAAATGCTCCAATATTGAAATGATAGGAAATAACTAAGAATTACTAAAAGATTTTATTTTATTTTTAGAAAGATAAGTTTCTAGGATCTTTGAATGCTGGATTTTTTTTGTCTTACCCATCCATGGCAGCTAAAAAAGATATCAAAATATTCAGGTTTACATGTTAGCTCTCTCATAGGGAGTTGCCATACCTCACAGTTCAAAGTGTATTCTATAGATCAGTAACATTATACTGACATGTAATTGCAATTTACTATGCAGCAAAAATGATTCAAGAAGAACAATAACCTACAGTGTCTATTTACCTTTGTATAGGCAATTGCTTAAGTTACTCTGCTTTTAACATTTGTACTTGGATAAAATGCTTATGTCTGTATAGGAATGTCACAGTGCAAGATGCTGCTAGTCCAGGCACAAAGTATTAAAATTATTTTGTGAAGATTGGTGGTTGTATTAAAACTGTTGTGCCATTATACCTCAAAAAGATTGTAATGTTCATTTATACTGCTTATTCCTCAGAACTTTAGATTGTTGTCTTCTAGGTAAAGTAACCCAATTTTACTACCTCAGATTAATAAGGATGAATGAACATTCGGTGTTTGAGAAGCACTTAAGAGTATCTTCCAAAAACACTATGGTCACACACATAAAAATTATGTTTAGTAGTCTAGGCAAGACCTGAATTTTTTGCTCAAGAATATTTCTTCAGGATTAGTAGAACAAATTTTGAGTTGGAACTGAGTGAAGGAAAGAGTATAGGTCATCCACAGAGCAGCTTCTAGCCTGTTAAAAACAATACTTATTGTATTCACAGTCAGCCTATATTCTACTCTTCATCAAATCTAAGATGCTATCACTATACTGTTCTTTTAGATGCCACTAAAAGGCAAAATATTGTTGAATAAACTCTGGCAAGGCATCGATCATAAAATGCATCCTGACTTCAAAAATGTAGCATAAAAAATACGCATTTTAGAGTCATGGAGATATAAAAATACAAAATACATGAGGCCTGATAAAAATCACAACTGTCACTTCATTCTATCTTTTCAAAGCAAATGATGCTTTAAAATGTGAATATATAGTTTTTATATTATGAAATGTTTTACGCAGCTTTTTTCTCAAGTTTACTCACAATATGGTTTAGGAAATCTTAAACATAATACTCTGGCTAACTTAAAAAAATTTTTTTTAATGTTTTATTAGAGAGAGAGACTGAGTCCAAGTGCAAGAGGGGCAAAGAGACAGATCTGAAGCAGGCTCCAGGCTCTGAGCTATCAGCACCGAGCCTGGCATGGGGCTTGAACCCATGAATCATGAGATCATGACCTGAGCCAAAGTCAGACACTTAACTTGACTGAGCCACCCAGGTGCCCCTCTGGCCAGCTTTTAAAAGCTAAATACAGGGGCGCTTGGGTGGCTCAGTCTGTTGAGCATCTGACTCAGCTCAGGTCATGATCCCAGGGTCATGTGTTTGAATCCCACATGGGGCTCCGAGCCTGATTCTCTCTCTTCCTCTTCCCCACTTCCCTGCTTGCACGCCGAGGTTAAAATAAAATTTTAAGTAAAAACAAAGCTAAATACAGATCACCATTTTCATCAATGACAGTTTTTATATACTTTATAACTCTTATAGGGAGGGTTTGAAGACCTTAAGAACACTATTTAATGGGATTTATTGAAATACCAACCTTGTAGACAACTTCAAATTGTTCAGAAGAATGGTAAAGCATTTAATTTTGCCTTCTATTAGGTTTATTTTTTTAACATGGGTTTTACTTAATAAAGCTACTGTTGTGCCAAGGTTGTAGGACTCCTGAAAAGGCAAAACTAGCTGAAAAGGCAAAAGCAGATTTGTTGCTTTTACTAGAGACAGATCAATTCATAAGCACAGTGCACCCTCTGTTGGTAAAGGATTGTTGTTTTAGAAAGCCAACTTTAGCTTACTGCAAGGACAGAAACCATAAATCCAGTTGAGGTACATGTAAGAGGGATGAAAAGCGGTAGGTCTTTACTTTCCCAGTGAATTTTACAAAGAGTACACAAAACGGAAATCTTCTGAACCAAGACATAACCTAATAGTTCAACAGAAGACACAAGAAACAGACATTAGGATTCTAATGAAAGACTTTTCATCATATGAACAGGTTTAATGTAACATGGAATGCAAAAGATTAGAACCATTAATAAAATATCCAATTTTTCAACTTAAAAAAATAATTAAAATAAATAAAATCAAAACAAGATAGGGACCAGGATAATAGTACCATGACAATCACAGTAAATAGAAAAGCTTCCATCAACATTTCAAGGATGTAACAAATGTAGTATGATACATATTTAAAATATTCCCCTCAATTTTGTAACCTTTCATAAAAATGTTACTTAGAGGACATCGATGAAAAGATGAGAAATCAGGTTAGAAATACATAATATGCCAAGATTTGCTAATTTTCACTGTTAAAAAGTATATTTGCTCTTATATTTCACATATAAGACAGGTGGTACCTTATCTACGTAAGAATTATATAAGAATTATATAAACTTTAAGATGTACACTTAATTTGTTTTACTTTGAATCTAGTCACATTTTATAATTTTCACTTCTACTAATTGAAAAGGCTGACCAGGTGGTTTGCCAATATAGAACCAATGTGTGTTGGTCTGTACTACACTTTGTATCTTGCCCAATTTCACATAATATATAGAAAAATGATAACACTCCTAACTGATTTTTGGTGTTTCTTTGAAACAAAAATATTAATTTTATGAATGTGATACAGCCTTATTCATGGTGTGTTTTTGTTTTTTTTTAATGAGCAGTACAGATAGCAGACACATAACTCTATACTACCTATAGCTACAAAGAAATGAAGCAAAACTTTAGAAAAATACAATGCAAGAAAAGATTCAAGTTAAAAATATATTCCTTTGGTTAAAAATCATCCCCTTTATAAGACTTATTTGTAATCTAAACTCAGCATGTCCCACAGGCCAAAGTAATCTTCTAAGTGTCATTATATTTGTTGAATTACAATGTTTTTTTCAATCCAGTATTTATGGAGGTCACTGGGTTGAAGCAACAAAATAATTTTAACTCTAAGAAGAGTATTGCCTTGTTGCATTAGCTCCTTTGACAAATGTCTTTCTTAAAAGATGTTTACTTTAAAAACCTCCGACACATGTAGTTTTCTTCAGATACTGTATATCCAAACTTTTTATAGAAACCAACATTTTGTGGTAGACATTCAAGGGTAATCTTATAACAGTTCAGTTTCTTGCTTAGTAAAGTAAGGGTTGATAACAACCTGAAATTGAAAAAGGGGGAAAGCATAGAGCATTTAATGCATTTTGAGTAACTTAATATGAGTGAATATTATATAAGTAAAATTTCAAATTTATATTAGAAATGGGTTTAGATCATGAGCTTTCTCATGGTATTCATTTAAATATTCAAACTAAGTGGACAAGCATTTAAATCACCCAAAGCATTTTATTGTTTCAAATATAACTTATCTAGTAATCTCTAGCACATTAATAGAACAATACTAAATTCAATCTAAACCCTCTTTAAAAATAGGGTTAAGATTAATGTTAAAACCGGGGCACCTGGGTGGTTCAATCGGTTAAGCCCGACTTGAGCTCAGGTCATGATCTCGTGGCTCGTGAGTTCAAGACCGGCGCTGGGCTCTGTGCTGACAGCTCTGAGCCTGGAACCTGCTGTGGATTCTGTGTCTCCCTCTCTCACTGCCCTCCGTTGCTTGCACACGCTCTTGCACGCGCAGTCGCTCTCTCTCTCCCTCTCACAACCATTAAAAAAATCAAAAAGGATTCATATTAACATTAAAGACTGTCAACTGTTTAAAAAAATATGGCCAATATTTTGAATCTTTTTCCTAAATCTATTCAAACTACTTAGGAACAGTCAACATTTCCACATGAGTACAAATAGCTTTGTTCTGTATCATTTTTAAAGCTAACATTTGTGAAAGTATATATCACATTACCTCTGGGCTGTTGCAATTAATAAGAAATAGGAACAAAGTAAAAAAGGTATGCCTTCTTCAAGTCCTTAAAGACTCTAGAAAGCCCAGTATAAGAATGTGATTCTAACTGCCTTAGGGGAAAAAAAACTAGATCTACAAAAATTTACCCAAAAGATTTTCTTATGTTTGCACAGACTGAAAAGTTGTATCACTTTGAAGACAGAACATCTTGACTGAAGTTAGGAAATTATAAAAGGTATAACAAAATTAAGTGGACTAGAATACTAGAAATTGGTCTGTTTTGTTGACTGATGTATCCCAAATAATATCTGGCACACAGCAGGTCCTATTATTGAGTGACTTCCTTAAAATTCAGAAGAGATGGCATTAAGCAAGTTAAAAGATTTAGATAGGGGCACCAGGGTGGCTCAGTCAGTTAAGTGCCTGACTCTTGATTTCAGCCTCAGGTTTGTGAGTTAAAGGCCCACATCAGGCTCTGCACTGAAGCGTGGAGCCTGTTTGGGATTCTCTCTGCCCCCCCTCCCCACTCTCTCTCTAAATAAATAAACTTTAAAAATTTTAGATAAATGCATAGAGCATTATACAGGAAAGGCTATTTTAGTAATATGTTTCTGAAACAGACTGAGAACATCTCCTTTGTTTTTAAATATGACTGGGAAACAGGCGAATCACTTGACTTGGCCAAAACTTGGTTTCCCACTAGTATGAAAATATTAATAAAAGTTAATAAAAATGTTAGTCTATAAAACAGTACACTCTCAATTTCCTAATTTCATGATAAAACATAAAAATACTTAGTTTCTTCCATTAAATTTAAACTACAGAGTTAGATTAATTAATGACACCTAAAAAGAACTTCAAACAGAAAACATTTTTTAACAAATATCTGGGTAAAAAACTATTAACTGAAACAAAAAGTATCTGATTTAATGAGGGTTACCTTGTTTCTGCCTACTTACAGTTTGCCAAGCTGCTTTCCTCGGCATTCATCACTAACAACAACATCTTCTACTCTTCCTCTCTGAAAATATTTACAGCGTTTAAGGGACTAAGCATGTAGTTTTGTTTTTAGCCACATCAACAAGTGACAGTAAGAATTCAATGATAAAAATATTTTTTATACTTGGAAGTTCACAAAAAACAAAATGCAACCCTTTTTTACTTATAGAGGAAATAATAATAATGAACCAATTTGTAGCCTAATATTGTTTTGTTTATATCCAAAATCTTCCCACTCCATTGTTTTAAAGCAGATTTCAAAATCCACAGAATCAAAATGTAATCTTGCCATGTTCCGTACATCATCTTACTCCTTGCTTAACAGCAATTTCTTTCAAACATCCAAATACAATTTTCTAATTTCTAGTAAAGAAATCCCACCAAAATTCATACCTCAGAATAACATTTGAAGTGTTTATATCTTATTTTACTGGATTACCTAGGTTCTCATGTGAGTCATGAGGAGTGATCAGGAGTTAGAAATGTTATGGAATACAGTTGAACAACATTCAATACTGTAAATGTGTTATAATTATGATTTAATAACATTTTCTTTTCTCTGGGGTGCTCAGTCGGTTAATCATCAGATTCTATTTCAGCTCAGATCATGATCAAGCCCTCTGTCAGTTTTCTCTTCCTCTCTGCCCCTCCTCTGCTGGCATTCATTCTTTCGCTCTCAAAATAAATAAACCAAAAAAAAAAAATAGTAACATTTTTTTCTCTAGTTTGCCTTAACATAACAATCAACTGTTTATGCTGACAGTAACACTTCCAGTAAATGTTAATATTGGGAGTCAAAAGTTACACGCAGATTTCTGACTGCAGAGTGCCAGCATCCCTAACTCCAATGTTGTTCAAGAGTCTATAATATTCTGGATCCTTTAGTGCTTGGAAACTGACAATATTTGTGTTAATGTATATACAAAGTACTGTGTGTGTGTGTGTGCGTGTGTGTGTTTTTAATAGCATTAGGGACTCTAAATGTTAATACCAAATTTCATGATGCTGACTTGGTTTCCCAAGGACACCTTACAGAACAATGTTCAGACAATTCTGATTGTCAATACAGTTTCCTCCTAACTCTCAGAACACAATAGGAAAATGTTACTAAGTGATCTCTAAGAAGCAAAACTTTTTCCAGGGCAATAAAACTCTCATTTTACAAGGAAAACCAGTGAGAAAATAGATTTGTCTAACGGAAGCTCAAAGTTGGTTTTGCTAGAAAACACTTGTTCATTTTATTCATATGCACTAATGTGAACACATACCTTAGCACAGGAATGGATGAATTTATGTTCTATTATCAGAGTTGCTGTAGCAACAATTTGTCCTAAAGTCACATCTTCCACAACTGTAACATAATAGTCTCCAGATTTCTTCATGTGCTCAAAAGATTCTGTGGAAATTGGACAAGTGTTATGTGGTAGACTTTAAACTTTATTAGGTGCCATAAAAATACTAGTATTAGCAGACTTCATTATTGAATATTTAAAGATCTTTCACCATGGCAATTTACTTTGTTTTCTAAATGAAATACTAATTATTATGGGGTGCCTGCGAGGCTCAATCGGTTAAGCATCCAATTCTTGATTTTAGCACAGGTCATGATCTCAGGGTTCGTGGGTTTGAGCTCTAAGTTGGGCTCTGTGCTGGCAGTGCAGAGCCTGCTTGGGATTCTCTCTCCCTCTCTCTCACCTTCCCATGCTTGCTTGCTCTCTCTTAATAAATAAAGTTTTTAAGGAAAATACTAAAAATGACCAAGTGGTTGAAATATTGGCAATTACTATCAACTAGAATATGGTCCATACATTAAAAAAAATCTAACAAAGTACAACTATTAACAGCTATTTTAGATGAACAGCACTTAGAATACAAATAAACTGTAGATGCTACCACTTCTGTGACTAATGAATAAAAACTCTTTAATATCTTTATTACCTCCTTTAAATAAATTTCTTTAACCATTACACTCAATATTCAGAAAGAATAAAACTGCAAATTTATTATTTACCTTAAAAATTTTTTAATGTTTTATTTTGAGAGAGCATGAGCAGAGGTGCAGAAATCATGACCTGAGCCAAAGCCACACGCTTCACCAAATGAGCCACTCAGGTGCTCCATTTACATGACCAAATTTTAAGAAGAACACTCTTACATGGATCCATTCTGAAATTTTTAGTCTTCTGGCTTCAAAATATTTTGACAGTCATGTTCAGGTTTCCCCTTGTGATCTGGTTTCATGACTCTGACTTGCTTTTTTGGAAACAATCTGGGGCACCTGGGTGGCACAGATGGTTAAGCATATATGACTCTTGGTTTCAGCTCAGGTTCATATCCTGGTTTCTCAGTTCGAGTCCCACACTGGGCTCCGTGCCGACATTGGAGCCCACCTGACATTCTCTCTCTCTGTCTCCCTGTCTTTCTGCCCCTCCCTGGCTCACTCTGTCTCTCTCTCAAAAATAAATTTTAAGGGGCACCTGGGTGGCTTAGTCAGTTGAGCTTCTGACTTTGGCTCAGGTCATGATCTCAGGGTCCGTGGGTTTGAGCCCCACGTCGGGCTCTGTACTGGCAGCTCAGAGCCTGGAGCCTGCTTGGGATTCTGTTTCTCCCTCTCTGTCTGTCTGCCCCTCCCCCATGCGCACTCGTGTGCTTTCTCTCTCAAAATAAAATACATAAAAAATTTTTTTTAAAAATTTAAAAAACCCAAAAGGACGAATCCTTGTTTTTGTTTGCTTTGAAAGTACCTTGTAAAGTAGGTGAAAAATGTTTCCATTTCTAAGTAATCATCCCAAAGTCACATGGCATATAGGAGCAAAGATGGAATACTTTTCTCTCAAACTGATTTTTAGTACTTATATTGCCAAAATAATGGGTTTCACATCTAATCAGATACACAGGCAAAGAGGAATTCAGGAATAGAAACTGAGCCTAATATTCTCACATAGTGTTTATTTCCAGTCTCCTAGATAGGGTTCTGGAGTGGGAAGAAATAAATTCGGTGAAGGAAAACAATGAGAATCAGAAAAGAGTGAGCTTCATTTGGGAGGGTGAGATAGAGTACAAAACAATTACCCAGTGAAGGAAATGAAGAACTTGTAGAAAACAGGAAAAGACTATGTTAGAGCACTAGATGGAATCAGGAAGGTTTTAGTCCTTTAACAGTAATTATCTGTGATCTTAAGGCATTTGACCTCTCTAGATTTCCATTCTCTCATATGTATTATAAAAGGGGGTTGAACTATAAATGCTAAGACACTGGTTGACCTTAAAATTCAATATAAACAGGGGCGCCTGGGTGGCTTGGTTGGTTGAGCATCCAACTTGGGGTCAGGTCGTGATCTCACAGTTCATGAGTTTGAGCCCCGAATCGGGCTCTGTGCTAACAGCTCAGAGCCTGGAGCCTGCTTCAGATTCTGTGTCTCCTCTCTCTCCCCCTCCTCTGCTCATGCTGTCTCTCTCTCTCACAAATAAACACTGAAAAAAATTTTTTAAATTCAGTATAAACAAACTAAATAAGTTGAGAACATAATCTCTTAATTACTCTTTTTTATTTGGTGATGAAATTTCCATGAACAACCTAACCACATGAAAAATACTACAAGGGGCACCTGGGTGGCTCAGTCATTTAAACGGCCACCTTTGGCTATGGTCATGATCTCGTGGTGAGTTCGAGCTCCATGTTGGACTCTGATGACAGCTCAGAGCTTCGGATTCTGTGTCTCCCTCTCTCTCTGCCCCTCCTGCCCTCCTCCCCTGCTCATGCTCAGTCTCTCTCTCAAAAATATTTTTTAAAAATGGAAAAAAATTACAATATAAAGCAATCTCTAGAGAGGTCACCTAGATTTACGGCTACAATAATTATCTAAAAGTCAGGTATTTTGTAAAACATGAGAATTGCTACACTTGGATTCTAGAACAAGTAACCACATTAAACGTTTAAATAAGAAAATAGGGGCATCTGGTTAAGCATCCGACTTTGATTTTGTCTCAGGTCATGATCTCACTACTAATATATAAGCTCAGACCCCTGATGATAGCATGATATAGCACAGAGCCAGACTGCTTGGGATTCTGTCTCTGCTCCTTCCCCTTACCTCTCTCTCAAAATAAATAAACTTTAAAAAATAAGAAAATAGCTAATAGTTCTATGAATAATTTCCAGCTATTTGAACACAAACACAAGTAGACACTGACTATAGCCCTAATGAAAATTCTTGTTTCCCTTTATTTTTTCATTCAGGAAAAAAATGTTGTATGTAGTACTTACTCATAAATTGTTCAGGGTTGACAACTCCAGTCTCTGTCAGCTGACCTAGTACTTTAAAAAAACCTAGTTTTGAAAAACAGATTTCAAGTCATGAGAAGACCAAATGAAAGATTTATCAAAAGAAGCAATGTGTGAAGGTGGTGGGATTATGGGTACTCGAGTTTTCAGAACTTTCTGTAATAATTTTGAAAATAATCACTTTATTATTTAAAAACATTAAACCCATTACTCTTTATGTAATTACTACATAAAACAAAGAATAATAGGTTTTACCAATGTTTTCACCTGGAAAAGAGTATTTTATGAATTTGGAATAGTGCAGACCTTAATAATTCAATATGTATAAAACAAGCAGGGATATTTTTCAATGTAATTTGCATTAAATTTGATGCAGGGAATGCCAAATTTTCCAAAATATGTGCTTTGGCTTTATTTAAACGTGCAAGATCATCATGGTCAAATATGATCTTATTTTAAAATTAAAATATAAATAATATTGTTGAGACTAAGTTTTAAAGAATACTGATTAATTTCATTAATGCTAAATTAACATGAACATTAATTTATGATATATGAAAATATGAACATTTGAGAACTTTGAGAATCTTAACTTCTACACACTCAATAGTCTGACCAAAATTAGTTTCTTCAGATTTCCTACTAAAAAGAAAACTAAAAAGTTGATTTATTACCAAAATTTAAGGAATTTTGGAGAATTCAGATTTAAAAAAAAGAAATATATGTAAACAAAACCTTTGCAACCTTTTCAAGTAAATTATCTCTACCCTCACTCCCCATCCAACCTCTTAGAGAAGATTCTTCCTAATTGTCATTATGATGATAATTTCACCTTTATGAAAAGTCTTTTTAGATTCTTAATTAGGAAAGAGTAGTGTTACCTGGTCTTAGCCATTATAATACCAATATATACATATTGGAATTGAGTCTCAGTCATTTTAAAAATTAAGTATAAAAAAATAATCCAAAAGTCAAACATTTTTAAAAATTCTCAGCAGCATCATGTTTTGTGGAGAAAACAAAATGCTAATTACAGTTGACTCTTGAACACAGGTGTGAACTGTGCAGGTCCACTTGTACACAGATTTTTTTTCAATAAGTACATTACAGTATTTTTCTTAGGATTTTCTTAATAACATTTCTCTTATGATTCTCTTAATAACATTTTTCTCTAGCTTACTCTATTGTAAGAACATAGTATATAATACATATAACATAAAATATGTGGTAATCAACTACTTCTGTTATTGGCAAGGCTTCCAGTCAAGAGTAGGCTATTAATAAGTTAAGTGTTTGGGGAATCAAAATTTATACACAGATTTGCAAATGCACAGAGGTCAGTGCCTCTAACCCCCATATTGTTCAAGGGCCAACTGTAATTCTAACCAAGATCTGTAAACCAAGTCCCTACCTCTATTTAAGTCAGCAGTACAAAGGGGCCTCAAAACCAAACCTTCTCCAGGATGTGTTGGGGAAATGGCTGGAGAAAATGTAGCTGTATTCTGGCTCCAGTCCACTTCTTTGAGTAGACTTGGGTCAAACATAGGAGTTTCATCAGGTTTCATCTTTGTAGTAAGGTCTAAAACAAAATTTTAAATGGTAAGGCATTTACTTAATAGGGAATTACAACTGGTAAGAAGTCTATTTCTTAATAAAAGTCAATGCAATTAGAAAACTCTTTAATATATATGCAATATATGTTCTATCTCAAATCTAACATAAATGCCACAAACATAGATGGAAGACTCATGGTTAATAGCAGATATTAAACAAATGACTAACTTTTTAAGTTTTCAACTTTAAAACCCCATTTTCTAGCAAGTCTTCCAAAATATTTTTCCTATGGGTTGGTGCTAGCATAGCACTGTGATTAGCTGACTTTTCATGGGCTTTTACTTTTTTTTTTATCATTGGATATTATTGGGCTAAGAGATTATTTGTTGGTCTTACCATTAAGAAAGACTTATTGGGCATACTACTTGTTTTTTTATAGTAACGATGAACAGAAGATAATTATTAAACTGGCTTAAATTATTTACTCCACATTCATTGTAATATTCGGTTTCAGCTACGAACGATTCATATTAAGGGTATCTGTTAGATTTTGTTTTCATACCAGATTTTCTAAGAACCTATAATGTAAGTTTCTCAGCTGCAATTAGGCAGCATAAGAATAGCCAGTGTTTTTCATACTATTAAAAAATAATCAGTGGGGCACCTGGGTGGCTTAGTCGGTAAAGCGTCCGACTTTCGCTTAGGTCATGATCTCGCGGTTCATGGGTTCGAGCCCCGTGTCAGGCTCTGTGCTGACTGCCAGCTCAGAGCCTGGAGCCTGTTTCAGAGTCTGTGACTCCCTCTCTCTCTGACCCTCCCCTGCTCATGCTGTCTCTCTCTCCTAGAAATAAGTAAAACATTAAAACAAAAATCAGTTATGGTATTATCCTCTTTTTTGAACATTCAGAAATGGGCAGATTCTTACGTGGTGTGGTCTAATAAAACAGACTAAACAATAGGTATAAGGATAGAATGAAAAAATTATACAAAGCATAAAAATGGGGGGAGTGGCACGTCTGTGGGACCCAGAGTTGCTAGAACAGAATCTTCCTAACGATTACTAGGAGACTGTAAAGCAACCCTTAACTTTCATTTCTATCCCCTTACCCAGTTAAAGAAACTATTCTATTTGATACTATTTGATACTTGCTTCAAAAATCTTTGAAACAAAGATTTTAAAGATACATATCCATAACATTACCATAAAACAAGGAAAAAAAAACAAACAGGAAAAATTAAAGTCTATTTGACAGTTTTCCCAATAACCTCATTCCCATCAGGTTCCCTATTTCCTAAGTCATAATATGCTTAAGGGCAATTTGTCTTAACTTTTCCTTAAAGGTCAATTAAACCTCTGCCTGTGTAACTGACTGCCATACAGGTAATGTTGCACTTACAGTAAAGGCTTTGGGAAGGTAGTGTGGTGTAAGAGCAGAGGTTAACATTTGTTCAGCGTTTACAGTAGGTTAGGCATTATTCAAAGAACTTTAGACATTACTAATTCATTTACTTCAACAATCCTATAGGATAGGGATGATTATCATCTCCATTTTAACAGACAAGACATGTTAAGTAATCTGCCTAAGGTCACAAAATTAGTGGAGTCAGGACTTAAACCTTAGATGGAAAAGCGCATGTGCTCTGGAGTCAAGCTGGTGTTCAAATGTCAAATGTGATTATGGCTAATGTAGTCAACTCTAACAATCTGTTTACTCATTTGTAAATTATTAGAAGGAGATGAAATTATTAGAAGGACATGAATTACTATATACAGCACTTCACAGTGCCTGGCACACTGCAAATGTTCAACAAGATATACTTTAGTTAGCAACTAATTAAAAATTCATGTTTATAAATCTTTGTTAATTTTTTTCATCATTAAATTAATTCATGAGCCGGGCACAACAGGGGCTACAAAAAGGATGACAGGTTATATGTTTATGTTGAACTGACACATCTTAGATAGGAGAAAAAAGAAAAAAAAATCATAGTTTATTATGTAGAACACCAAAGGGCTTCTTCCCCCTTCAGAAAGGACTCAAAATATGTTATGCTGTAAACAAACAAAAAAACAAACAAAAAAAATAAAAACCAAAAATGATATCTGCTTCTAAAACTAGTAAGGAAAGGAGATAAAACTGTGATGATTAAAATATTAAACCAGTCATTCATATTGGGGCGCCTGGGTGGCTCAGTGAAGTGTCAGACTCTTGACCTCAGCTCAGGTCATGATCTTATGGTTGGTGGGATGAGGACCACATTAGGCTCTGTGCTGTCAGTACAGAAGGATTCTCTCTCCCTCCCCCTCTCTCTACTTTTCCCCACTTGTTCTGTCTCAAAATAAATAAACATTAAGCACACACACACACACAATCTGGAGTACCTGGAGCATCTGACTTCGCAGGTCATGATCTCATGGTTATGGGTTCAAGCCCTGTCAGGCTGTGTGCTGACAGCTGGGAACCTGGAGCCTGCTTCAGATTCTGTCTCCCTCTCTCTCTCTCTGCCCCTCCCCCACTCATGCTCTGTCTCTCTCAGAAATAAACATTTAACACACACACACACACACACAATCATGTCAAATTTAACAAGCTTACAGTCCACCTGAAACGGATTTTGTATAGGTTAACTTTAATGCATGCATTTTAGTGTCTGTTCCTGGTAACTGGATCCCTGAGGCTTTTGGGTATACTCATCTCAAAGATGGGTAAAACACTGTTTTTCAGGTATACAGATAAACAGGCTAAATATTTATCAACTGAGTAAAATGTATGTATTAAATACAGAAGCCAGAAAGTGTTAAAAATTTAGTTCTTTAGGGCAACACACTATTTAAACAGTTTGCTGTTCATTTTATTTAACGTACAGTTGTAACCATGAAAGTTAAAGAAAGTTCAAAAGGGAATTTAAATGAACATTAGAACAATTTAAAGTAACTAGATCGCTTTTTCCTATAAAGTTGCCTGAGTTTACAGTAAAATGTAGTCTAGAAAGCACACAATATACCGTTAATAATTTCCAAGAGAGAAAGGGGAGAGAAGGTACACAGGAGAATTAGGATTACAAACCCTTTAACTAATGAATTTTAAATAGTAAATACTAATATTTTCCTGTACTTTTCTTTAATCAGATGGTCCTATTCCATGAGTGATCATAAAAATAAGTAATAGTGGCTAAAATTTATGAAGTGCTTTGTAGTTGTTAACTCATAAAAATGCTGAGAGATCTTTCATTATTATCCCCATTCTACAGACCAGGAAAGAGGCACAGTAACTTGCTCAAGATAACAGGGCCAATAAGGAACAGAGTTAGGATTCAAAACCAGGCAACAGAGCCGGCTTCACAGGCACTGGACCCAGCTGCAGATGCCCTGGGCCCACACTTGGTTCTACTCTCTGCTGCCACAAAATTGAGAAATTCATAATAATTTTTTTTTAACAAAGAGCCCTCTATTTGCATTTTGCACAGGTTACCACCAATTATGTGCCCATTCTTGCACGATTCCAGATTCTGTATCCTTAGTAATGAAGATGCACTAGTGAAGATGAATTCCCTACTTCATTGTACAAGTTAAAAATTTAGTCAAAAGCAACACCTGTTTGGGAAATAAGAGTATCAAACATGTCAAAATACATTAAGCAAAGCATTCTGGATAGAGATAAGAATCCATTAACTGGGCAATCAGAAATTAACATCAAAATGTTCTGGTGAGTTATTTTACAAAATAAAGCCATTTACTTTCCTTTATCTTACTCCATCCCCATTTAATAAAATTCTGCTGGTGCCCAATTAATATGCTGGGAAAGTTAAAATAGGATGTGATTTGATACCAAATTTTAGAAAGGAATGAAATAGATAAATTTGGTTTACAAAAGAAATATTTTAGGATCTTAAGGTGCCCCTGAAGTATTGCAAAACTAGCAAATTTCAGTAAACAGAATTGCAGTTATCTGAAGCTGAATCTCATTATCACTAGGGTGACTGATTTTAAAAAGTAAACCCTAACCCTCCTTAAATATTTCTCCAGAACCTTTCCAATTTAACCGTGAAGTTAGCATGCATTTACAAGGCTCATATATGCCTAAGAGCCCAATAAATGCCTAGTGAATGAGTAACAAATGGCATTAAGACTTACTCGAAGGTCACATTTCAGAAAATCCAAAAGAAAGATTCCCAAATTGCCACAAGTGATATCACAAAAACCACACACCAAATTCGTTTTTACTAGGATCATCAAGTTTCCGTTCAACTGATTATTTGGACAATTTCAACAATTTAGTTTCCCAACTTCTACAGCAGACTAAAATACAAACAGGGAGGAGATGCTGCTAGAAGCAAGCAATTGAGAGCAACAAGTAATAGACACTGGGAATGAAGATTTTTAAAGTTGCTATAAAAATTTAAAAAGCATACTCCAAGGCCAAATCTAAACTGCTTTACATATCTCAGGAGCTCCTGGGTCATTACTTCAGCATGTGGTGAACGGGGGAGATTTGCTCTTTGAGACTTTAGGGTTTGTCTACATACACTTCATAACAATTTCAGTAATAATTTGACTAAATTTTTAATCTGAAGAACACTTTATTCGCTGATGATTTTTAACAAACCTGGCCATATTTGTTAAACTATGGGATTATACTTCAGCTGAGAATTTTAAAAAGGATTTTCTGATCGTTTGTTTGATCCCTATAATCGGGTACTATTTCCCAGGCATGTGAAGCCTCAAGGTAACACAGCACATGTGTGAACTGGGACTAGAATCCTATTCTGTCTTCCCATCTTGAGCTCTAAAACACCATACTCTACAGACATCAATCTCTATTTACATCATCGTACCACACAGGTGGCTTTACTTCTAAAAAATATCAACGTATTCTACCTAAGGGGCTGATCGAAATGATTTCTTGAGCCCCATTCTAAGATTTGTTCATGAGTGTACAACCTAACAAAACTAATTCCATAATCGCCCGTTTCAATTTTGCATGAAATTTTAAGAGTTAGCTTTACATAAACATTAGCTCCTCCTATAAGGGGCATCATAGTGCTCGGTGTCTCTAGGGGTACAAGCCCCGGGAAGAGAGACAAAGGATGACCTTCCCTTCCGCAGCTGAAGCCCCAATTCAGTCAGTGCAGGAGGTGATCTTCGGGGCAGGAGCATGTCCTCAAGTGGCTCCCGGCCGCCGCGGGGTGCTCCTCGAAAAGGAACAGGGAAAAGGGGGATCGGAGCATTCGTGCCCGTTCAAAACTGACGGTGGCAGGGGCTGTGAGCAACTGTCTCGATCCCCCACGTTAAAGCATGCTGAGCGAAGAGTTCGTTTGGACCCCAGACCCTGCGCCCGCCCTGCCCGGGCCACCCCTGTACAGCCGGCTGGACCACTGACCCTCATCCCTAACCTCCCTCCGACCCCGGCGCGGGGCCGCTCAACTTGCTCCGAGCCGCACTCCACAACCACATGTGCACCCACCTGGCAAGGCTAAATGCGCGGCTCCCGGAACAGACCCCTCCCACCCGGGCCTAGCTTGCCTCGCCCGGGGACATCGGTCACACCTGTTTGATAAATGTGAAGGCAGGCCCACGACGGCCCCCTGGACACCCGGCGCGGCCCGGCTCTCGCTCCCCGGCCCCCAGCCTCCCTCACCCGTGGAGGCCTCGCGGTCGGCGTTCCTCTGCAGGCCCGTCTGACTCTCACCCACCCGGGTACACAGAACCGGATCCGGATCCGGCTTCAGCGCCAGCCCCACCTCCTCCTTCACCTCCCGCGCCACGGTTGCCGTCGCAGCGGCCTCTGCGCGAGCCGCCACCGGGACGTGGCAGCGCCGCCAACGCCTCCGCCCCGCCCCTGGCCGCTTACGCAGGACCTCGCGCAGGCGGGCGGAGGCGCTCCGGGGGCGAGGGGCGGGCCGGGGCGGGGCGTGCGGCGGGCTTTCGCGCGTGGGGCGCGGCGAGGACCGCCCCCGCGGGACCCCGCCTCCCGGCGGCGCGGGGCCGCCCCCGGGCTCGCTTCCTGCGGCCTGTCCCGCGGCGACCGGCTCCCTGCTCCTCGGAAAATGACTCCGCTTAGGAGTCAGCGAAGCACTGTAAGTGGTGATAGTGTGGGCCTCCTGCATCCTCGGAAGCCGGAGGCTCGGCCTCCTGCCCTTTGCCCTTGCCCTTGCCCCTTGCCGCCCCTCTTTTTAATAGTGCATTTAGTTAGGACTTCGGCGACTCGCTGGCAGCTGGAAGCGCCTTATCCCCAGTTTTCTGAGTCACCTCCGCGAAGTGGGGACATTGCAGCTCCTTTCAAATCCTTTTTGGATGAACCATAGGGCTAACCTAGGGTCCTCAGCTGTGGCGGCTTCGCCTCCCAGGAGACAGTTGGCGATGTCTGGAGCTTTTCAGCCTGTCTGTGGGAGAGAGGCCACTGGCATCTCTGCAGTTGCAGGAGGGTAGAGACCAGATACGCCGTTAACCATACACAGCGCAGGGCCCCCCAACATTTCAACCTGGTCTGCGACGTCAGGTGCTGAGGTGGAGAGACCCTGGATTAGGACGAGAAAAAAAAAAAAAAAAGACTTCTCTCTGAGCTCCCATTTCCAAAACACACGTCCTCATTTTGCAGATAAGGGAACTGAGGTTCAGAGATGTTAAGTAATTTACCAAAGTCACATAGCTAGTAGCGCTACTGCCTTGCCTTGTACCACAAATTTCAGCTTGCTGAAATTGCAAAGTATTTTATCCTTAAACAATACTGTTGGAAGAACGCTGTATATAGTCTGCCACAAATGATATTTTCTGCTTATTTGTGAGATTTAAATTTCAGTTAACACTTTTACTGGTTCATGCATTCTCACACCTTCAAACGTCAGTGTGACTGATGGCATCCACAATTTATCCATCCTTCTTTTTAGCCTTTTGCATAGGTAAAAATGTATAACACATAAAAAAAAATAAACACCACAAATCTTAAACATAGAGCCTTGTTTCCTTATCACACTTCAGTGTCTTCAATGAGTTTCTTCTGAGCAACAAAAACTGTAAATTTTACAGTTTAGCAAAAGGTAATCAATTATACAGTGTTATCACAGAACACAGTTCTAAGAGGTACCCCAAAAGATCTTCCACATTTCAGACTATTCCTCCTTATCCCTTCTGTGCCACAGGAATACAGTTTCTCCTGAATAGTCACTCTAGCCAGTACAGTACTCTCCTTCTTCACCTGTTGGCTTACTTGCAATGAGGTAGCCAGGTGACAATCTGAACTTCTAGTTTAATGGAATCATTGGTGTGTTCTCTCGTGATTTTTATTAATTTTTTATTTTTAAATTTTATTTTAGAGAGACAGCAAGCAAGCGGGGGAGGGAGAGAGAGAGAATATCTCAGGAGAGAGAGGGGGAGAGAGGGAGGGAGAGAGAGAGAGAGAGAGGGAGAATATCTCAGGCAGGCTTCTTGCTCAGCATGGAGTCCAACGCCAGGCTTGATCCCATGATTCTGGGATCATGACCTGAGCCAAAATCAAGAGGTGGACACTCAACTGACTAAGCCACACAGGTGCCCCTATTTTGTTTATTTAATTGAGCTATAACTCATATACCTTTGTATTAGTTTTAGATGTATAACGTAACAATGATTTGATATATGTATGTATTGCAAAATGATTACTTCAATAAGTTTAATTAACATTCCTCACCATCCATAGTTACAAATTTGGGGGGTTTTTTGTGATGAGAACTTTTAACTTTCAAACATACAGTACAGTATTGTTAGCTATAGTCATCATGCCTACATTGTATCCCCAGGAGTAATTTAACTTATAACTGGAAGTTTGTGTCTTTTGACCCCTTCACTCATTCTGCTCCCCAGCTCCCACCTCTGGCAACTACTAATTTTTTCTCTATATCCATGAATTTGTTTGTTTTGTTACATAGAACATATTAAGTGAGATCATAGAGTATGTGTCTTTCTCTGACTTCTCTCACTTCCCATAATGTATTAAAGCTCCATCTGAGTTGTTGTAAATGACAGGATTTCCTTTTTTATGGCTAAATAATATTCCACTATGTGTATTTGTGTTTATATATGTGTATATATGTATATATAAACAAACTTCTTTATACTCATCTAACAATGGACACTTAAGTTGTTTCCATGGCTTAGCTATTGTTAGTAATGCTGCTGTGAACATGTGGGTGTGTATATCTTTTCCAGTTGGTGGCTTAATTTTCTTTGGATAAATACCCAGAAGTGGAATTGCTGGACCATATGGTAATTTCTATTAAACATTTTTTGAGGGAAATGTTTTTGTTTTGTGTTGTTTAGAATAGTTTTTTTTTTTAAGTTCTTATTTTCATTCTAGTTAACTACATTGTTATATGAGATTCAGGTGTACCATATAGTGATTCAACAATTCCATACACCACCTGGTGCTCATCACAGCAAGTGCACTCCTTAATCCCGATCATTCATTTAACCCACCGTTTAAGTAACCATCAGTGCTCTATAGCTAAGAGTCTGTTTCTTGGTTTGTTTCTTTCTCTCACCACCCTCCCCTCATGCTTCTTTGTTTTGTTTCTTAAATTCCACACATGAGGGAAATTAAATGGTATTTATCTTTCTCTGACTGACTTATTTTGCTTGGCATTATACTCTAGCTCCATCCATATTGGTGTAAATGGCAAGATTTCATTCTTTTTATGGCTGAAAAAATATTTCGTTGTATACATACATCACATCTTCATTATCCATTCATTAATCAATGGACGCTTGGGCTGCTACCATATCTTAGGTAATGTAAATAATGCTGCAGTGAACATGGGGTGCTATATCTTTTCAAATTAGTGTTTTTGTATTCTTTGGGTAAATATCCAGGACTGCAATGGCTATATCATAGAGTAGTTCTATTTTTAACTTTTTGAGGAACCTCCATACTGTTTTCCTGAGTAACTGCACCAGTTTACATGCCCACCAACAGTGCAAAGGGATTCCTTTTTTTCCACATCCTTACCAACACATGTGGTTTCTTCTGCTGTTGATTTTAACCATTCTGACATGTGAGGTGATATCTCTTGAAGTTTTGACTTGCATTTCCCTCATGGTAAGCGATATTGAGCATCTTTTCATGTGTCTGTTGGCCATCTTGATGTCCTTGGAGAACTGTCTGTTCATGTCTTCTGCCCATGTTTTAATTGGATTATTTGTTTTTTGGTTCTGAGTTATAGAAGTTCTTTATATATTTGGATACTAGCCCTTTATTGGATATGTCATTTGCAAATATCTTCTCCCGTTCAGTAGGTTGTTTTTTAGTTTTATTGATTGTTTCTTTCGCTGTGCAGAAGCTTTTTATTTTGATGTAGTCCCAGTGGTTTATTTTTGCTTTTGTTTCCCTTGCCTCAGGGGACTTATTTAAGAAAAAGTTGCTACAAAACAAAACAAAACAAAACAGAAAACCTACAGCTATCTCACTCTTCATCTTTGGAAAGAGACTGTGTTCACCAGGTCTCCTTATCAGGAATTCACTGACCATCTTGTGAAGACCCACACCAGAGTCTCTGTGCAGAGGACCCAGGCTCCAGCTGTGGCCACCACGTAGTTTTGTACAAGAAAAATAAAGTGAATTAAAAGCTTAAAACAGAACAAAACAAACACAAAAACAAAAACAAAAAGTTGCTACAAATGATATAAAAAAGGCTACTGCCTGTGTTCTAGGATTTTTATGGTCTCAGATCTTACAATTAGGTCGTCAATCCATTTTGAGCTGACTTTTGTGTATGGTATTAGAAAGTGGTCCAGTTTCTTTCTTTGGCATGTTGTTGTCCGGTTTTCCCAACACCACTTGTTGAAGAGACTGTCTTTTTCCTATGGGATATTCTTCCCTGCTTTGTCAAAGATTAATTGACCATATAATTGTGAGTTTACTTCTGGATGTTCTTTTCTGTTTCACTGATCTTTGTGTCTCTTTTCGTACCTGTGCCATACTGTTTTGATTATTCCATCTTTGTAATACAACTTGAAGTGCAGAATTGGGATGCCTCCAGCTTTACTTTTCTTCTTCAAGATTGCTTTGGCTATCTGGGGTCTTTTGTGGCTTCACACAAATTTTAAGATTGTTCTAGTTCTGTGAAAAACGCTGTTAGTATATTGATGGGGACTTCATTAAATATGTAGATTGCTCTAGGTAGTATGGACATTTTAACGATATTTGTTCTTCCAATCCATAAACGTGAAATGTCTTTCCATTTCTTTGTGTGGTCTTCCATTTCTTTCATCAGTGTTTTATAGTTTTCAGAATACAGGTCTTTCACCTCTTTGGTTAGTTTTATTCCCAGGTATCTTATTATTTTTGGTACAGTTGTAAATGGGACCGTTTTCTCTTTTTTTAAAAATCTGTTTTTAAATTAAGTAGACTCCATGCCCAATGTGGGGCTTGAATTCATGACCCTGAGATTAAGAGTCACATGCTTTACCTACAGAGCCAGCCAGGAACCCCTAAATGGATTGTTTTCTTAATATTACTTTCTGCTGGCTCATTATTGGTATATAGAAATGCATTAGAATTCTATACATTAATTTTGCATCGTGTGATGCTGAATTTATTTATCAGTCCTAGGGGTGCCTGGGTGGCTCCGTCGGTTAAGCGTCCGACTTTGGCTCAGGTCATGATCTCACGGTTTGTGGGTTCGAGCCCCGCATCGGTCTCTGACAGCTAGCTCAGAGCCTGGAGCCTGCTTCAGATTCTGTGTCTCCCTCTCTCTCTGACCCTCCACTGCTCATGCTGTCTCTCTCTCTCTCTCAGAAATAAATAAAACATTAAAAAAATTATTTATCAGTTCTAGGAGTCTTTTGGGTTTTCTATATATAGTATCATGTCATTTGCAAGTAGTGGAAGTTTTACTTCTTCCTTCCCAATTTGGATGCCTTTTATTCCTTTCTCTTGTCTGATTGCTATGGCTAGGATGTCCAGTACTATGTTAAATAGAAATGGTGAGAGTGGACATCCTTGTCTTGTTCTTGACCTTAGGGGAAAAGCTCTCAGTTTTTCACCTTTTAGTATGATGTTAGCTGTGGGTTTTTCATATGTGGACTTTATTATGTTGAAGTATGT